CAAGGGACTACCTTTACCTTTACTTACCACATTCATAGAAGTTTGATCCCAATTTAAGTGCCACTAACTCCACCCAATGGAACCTTTGAGATTTGTAGTTTTTGGCAGGGGATTCTAGGGCATCCTCAAACACCGCCTGAGCTCTGCGAGTGCAGCATTTTTCTGAATGAAGCAGAGTGTGTTTGAGGACCGGGACATCCGTAGGGAGACCAAGAGGCTCTACATTCCAATTTAACTGCCGCTAACTCCACCCAATGGAACCCCTGGGATTTGTACTTTCTGGCACAGGGTTCCAGTGCATCCTCAAACACCGCCTGAGCTCTGCGAGTGCAGCATTCTTCCAAATGAAGCAGAGAGTGTTTGAGGACCGGGACATCCGTAGGGATACCAAGGGGCTCCACATTCCAGTTTGATTCCAATTTAAGTGCCGCTAACTCCACCCAATGGAACCCTTCGGATTTGTAGTTTCTGGCAAGGGGTTCCAATGCATCCTCAAACACCGCCTGAGCTCTGCGAGTGCAGCATTTTTCCGAATGAAGCAGAGTGTTTGAGGACCAGGACATCCATAGGGATACCAAGGTGCTTGTGTATAAAGCTATTGTTCTCCCAACCCTGCTATATGCCTGCAAAACGTGGACTGTCTACAGACGTCACATGCAACTCCTGGAACGATTCCATCAGCGCTGCCTCCGGAAAATCCTGCAAATATCTTGGGAAGACAGGCGGACAAATGTCAGCATGCTGGAAGAAGCAAAGTCCACCAACATTGAAGCAATGCTCCTCCACCATCAATTCTGCTGGATCAGTGATGCTATCCGGATGCCCGACCACCGTCTCCCAAAGCAGTTGCTCTACTCCGAACTCAAGAATGAAAAATGGAATGTTGGAGGACAGGAAAAGAGATTTAAAGATGGACTCAAAGCCAGCCTTTAAAACTCTGGCATAGACACTGAGAACTGGGAAGCCCTGGCCCTTGAGTGCTCTAACTGGAGGTCAGCTGTGACCAGCAGTGCTGCAGAATTTGAAGAGGCACGAATGGAGGGCGAAAGAGAGAAACATGTCAAGAGGAAGGCACGTCAAGCCAACCCTGACCAGGACCGCCTTCCACCTGGAAACCGATGCCCTCACTGCAAGAGAACATGCGGGTCAAGAATAGGGCTCCACAGCCATCTACGGACCCACCATGAAGACACTTCACTTGAAGGACAATCTTACTTGGACAACGAGGCATCACCTAAGTAAGTCTAGTGCACCAGTTCAGAGAGAGCAGATCGGAAAACCCAACTTACAAGAGGATCATGGAGTTGAAAAGGACTGCAAGGGCCTTAGATGAAACTTGAAACTAGAAATCCACTGACTCTGAACCATGGCTCTTAAAATTGGTATCAAACTGATATAGTTGCACAATGCAGATGCATCCAAATGGAAATTGACCTGGGAAAGAGACCACAATTCCAAGAATTATAGAATCAAAGAGTTGGAAGAGACCTCATGGGGCCATCCAGTCCAACCCAATTCTGCCAAGAAGCAGGAATATTGCATTCAAAGCACTCCTGACAGATGGCTATCTACCCTCATAGAATCAAAGAGTTGGAAGAGACCTCATGGGCCATCCAGTCCAACCCCTTCTGCTAAGAAGCAGGAATATTGCATTCAAATCACCCCTGACAGATGGCCATCCAGCCTCTGTTTAAAAGCTTCCAAAGAAGGAGCCTCCACCACACTCCGGGGCAGAGAGTTCCACTGCTGAACGGCTCTCACAGTCAGGAAGTTCTTCCTCATGTTCAGATGGAATCTCCTCTCTTGTAGTTTGACGCCATTGTTCCATTGCGTCCTAGTCTCCAGGGAAGCAGAAAACAAGCTTGCTCCCTCCTCCCTGTGGCTTCCTCTCACATATTTATACATGGCTATCATATCTCCTCTCAGCCTTCTCTTCTTCAGGCTAAACATGCCCAGCTCCTGAAGCCGCTCCTCATAGGGCTTGTTCTCCAGACCCTTGATCATTTTAGTCACCCTCCTCTGGACACATTCCAGTTTGTCAACATCTCTCTTGAATTGTGGTGCCCAGAATTGGACACAATATTCCAGGTGTGGTCTAACCAAAGCAGAATAGAGCATGGGGAGCATGACTTCCCTGGATCTAGACACTAGGCTCCTCTTGATGCAGGCCAATCCCATTGGCTTTTTTTGCCGCCACATCACATTCCTGGCTCATGTTTACCTTCCTGTCCACGAGGACTCCTAGATCTTTTTCACACGTACTGCTCTCGAGCCAGGCCTCATCGTCCCCCATTCTGTCTCTTTGCATTTCAAGTTCTGATTTCATTTGCTAACCTTTTGACAAATCATGATTTGGGGAGCAACTACACTGTTGAATTAATACAGTTTGGTACCACTTTACCACTGGACTGACCTTGAAGGAGCTGGGGGTGGTGACGGCTGACAGGGAGCTCTGGCGTGGGCTGGTCCATGAGGTCACGAAGAGTCGGAGACGACTGAACGAATGAACAACAACAACCACTTTACCTGCTATGGCATCATGGGAATTACAGTTTGATGTGGCACCAGCATTCTTTGGTAGAGAAGGCTACAAACCTTGTGAAATCTCATCTCCCAGGATTCCATAGCATTGAACCACAGAGGTTAAAGTGGTATTGAACGGCATTAATTCTGCAGTGCAGACGTAGCCTTACCTAGACTTCGAAGCACAAACCGTCAAATGGAAAACTCAATAGCATCTTGCCCTCAAAGTTACCCAAAGAGTCACACAGAGAAGGAAACGGATCCCTTTTTTGGCACCAGATTATTAATACTTAACGAGGAATAAATACGGTCCGAATGGGATGTAGCAACAATGTATTAGAACAACGAGGGACGGAAGATGGGAAATGGCAGGTTCGTTAGTAAACAAAACAAAACAAAACAAATCCCATTAACAACCTTTGACTATTCTATGTCATATAAAAATATAAAATCATAGCGTTGCGGGAGTGTCCAACAGAACGGAAAGAAAGGGAATATGCACCACGAATGATGGCCGGACCGGTCCAAAATCAGAGGCGAAATGGACAGCTGGACGGGGCAAAAGTTGGGAACGAGGACTAGGACTATGGAGCCTTTTATGGAAGAGCAACACGGAGAGCTGGCCTTAGACGTAGGTTTGCGTTTTGCACTCGCTTCCACCCGGCTAAGGCACTTTGGAACTCCCCTTTCGTGGTTTCGAAACAGACCCAGAAAGCAATGTTTCTAGTCCTCATGGTTCCAAAAAAAATTTACACTTTTGGACGTTGGAAAGCCCAGCTCACATCCAAAAGGAAACAAAGACCCAAAGTGAACTGCTTTCCATTCCTATGACTTGGGAAATCCCATGTTTTCCTGGACTTTTTTTCTTTCTTTCCCTTCGAAACAGCTCCAGTTCAAAGTATTGCAAGTAGCAGAAAAATAGAACCTTCCCAGAGCAGAGAGAGTCTCAAATAAGGTCGTCCAAACGATACCGAAAAAGTATTTTCCAAATGCAGGTTGAGGTGTGTCTAGATCAGGCATGGGCCAACTTCGGCCCTCCAGGTGTTTTGGATTTCAACTCCCACAATTCCTAACAGCCTATGGAAGGAAGGAAGGAAGGAAGGAAGGAAGGAAGGAAGGAAGGAAGGAAGGAAGGAGGGAGGGAGGGAGGGAGGGAGGGAGGGAGGGAGGGAGGGAGGGAGGGAGGGAGGGAGGGAGGGAGGGAGGGAGGGAGGGAGGGAAGGAAGGAAGGAAGGAAGGAAGGAAGGAAGGAAGGAAGGAAGGAAGGAAGGAAGGAAGGAAGGAAGAGTTCAAACTTTGGAACTTTTTACCTGGAGAGATCAGGAAAGCCCCTTCACTAGAAACATTAAAAAAGGACCTTAAAACCTGGCTCTTCCACTGTGCCTTTGGTGAGTTAAGTGCACACCATGAGTTGAAGTCCAAAACACCTGGAGGGCCGAAGTTGGCCCATGCCTGGTCTAGACTCTAGCATGGATGAGCTTTAATTGCTACGGCTCAATGCAACGGAGTCCTGGGAGCTGCACCTGTTCATAGAATCCTAGAGTTGGAAGAGACCTCCTGGGCCATCCAGTCCAACCCCATTCTGCCAAGAAGCAGGAAAATTGCATTCAAAGCACCCCTGACAGATGGCCATCCAGCCTCTGCTTAAAAACTTCATCAGCAATTGTAAGATCTATCAACCAAAAGGTTGCAGGTTTGAACCCCGGGTTTGGCGTGCATCTATGGCAAGCATCCTCAGAAGTTCTCAAGATTCAGTTTTCAAGATTCCATGAGGTATTGTTTCAATGCTATTGAAACCTGGGAGTTGTAGTTTCCCAAGTTCTTTGCTCCCTCTCCTAGAGCACTGCTGCTTTAGTAAACTGCAACTCCCAAGATTCCATAAGGCAATGGCTTAACATTATTGAAGCCTGGGAGTTGTAGTTTCCCAAGGTCTTTGCCTCCTCTCCTAAAGCGCTGGTGCCTTAGTAAACTGCAATTCCCAAGATTCCATAAGGCAATGGCTTAATGTTATTGAAACCTGGGAGTTGTAGTTTCCCAAGGTCTTTGCCTTCTCTCTTAGAGTGCTGGTGCCTTAGTAAACCACAACCCCCAAGATTCCATAAAGTAATGGCTTAATGGTATTGTAACCCGGAAGTTGTAGTTTCTTAAGGTCTTTGCCTTCTCTCCTAGAGCACTGCTTCCTTATTAAACTGCAACTCCCAAGATTCCATAAAGCAATGGCTTAATGGTATTGTAACCTGGGAGTTGTATTTTCTTAAGGTCCTTGCCTTCTCTCCTAGAGCGCTGGTGCCTTAGTAAACTGCAACTCCCAAGATTCCATAAGGCAATGGTTCAATGCTATGGGATCCTGGGAGTTGTGATTCCCCAAGGTATTTTGCTTTTTCTCCCCTAGAGCGCTGGTGCCTTAGTAAACTGCAACTCCCAAGATTCCATAAGGCAATGGTTCAATGCTATGGGATCCTGGGAGTTGTAGTTCCCCAAGGTATTTTGCCTTCTCTCCTAGAGCGCTGGTGCCTTAGCAAACTACAACTCCCAAGATTCCATAAGGCAATGGTTCAATGCTATGGGATCTTGGGAGTTGTGGTTTCCCAAGGTCTTCTGCCTTCCCTTCTAGAGTGCTACTGTCTTAGCAAACTACAAATCCCGGTATTCCATAACATTGAGCTGTAGCAGTTAAAGTGGTATCAAACAGCTTTCATTCTACAGCGCAGATGCACCCGGTGATGAAAACGCTCGTCATCCCAATCTTTGCTCATGTCCACAGAAATTCTGAATTATGGGAAGGCTGATATTGCAAATGGAGCTTTTGCAGCACTGGAGAGCCTCAAAACAGAAGGCAGGCATTGTTTACAGGACTGTACGTTACGCATGTCAGAAGACAGCAAGTCTGGGTTTGTGCCTTTGAACCAAAACGGAAACCGCAGCTAATCCAGGCGTGAGGTCCGTCCCTTGCAAACTGTCCCAACATTATGCGTCTTGGAAGCATAACGACTCACCCAAACGAGGCACGCAAAAGAGCCCCCTCGTAAGAGAAACACACACACACACACACACATCTGAATCTGCCAAGGAGGGAAATCCAGACACATTTCAGACGGAAACAGGCGGAGGAGCTCAACTTCCATGGCGGGTGGGACAGACTCCTCAGGTCTGCCACACTTTGAACATTATTAGACTGAGTAGACCATGGAGGGCAAAACGCTCCAGACGAAAGGCGCTGGAAGACCAGTCGATGTCTCGTTTGTCCGAATCCAGTTGAAGGCAACGGCTCTTGGAAACGGCTCTGCCTCTGTCTCTCTTGGATGCCGAAGGAGAAGACCCAAAGCCAGGCGGATGCAAAGGAGGCAATGGAAGGAGAGGAAAGAGCTGAGTGGACCGAGAACCTTCAAGACACAGAAATGGAGGTGGAACACAATGGAGAAGGAGGAGAAGAGGCACTGGTTGCAGACGCTGTGATGGTTGGGGAGGAGGAGGCCTCCACAAGGACTCCAAGACAGTTTGCTACGGAGGAGGAGAGTCAGTCTCGTTGCAATGCAAACCAACGCCCGAGGGTTTCTCCTACTGCTTAAAGTGGTAACCTGCCAACAAGAAGGAGACGGAAAAGACATTTAGTTTCACAAAACAGCAGCCTTTGCTTTGGCACACCCCCAATAAAATAGAATAGATAAGCTTTGTTGCAGGTAGGGGCAAAACCAGGACTGGGGGATGGATGCGGCCCTTTGGGCTCTTTTCTCAGGCCCTCCTCTCTCTCACCATCCTATCCTTCCTTTAATAATAATAATAATAATAATAATAATAATAATAGTAATACTTTATTTGTACCCCGCTCCATCTCCCCAATGGGGACTCGGTGTGGCTTACATGAGGCCAAGCCCAAAACAGCAATTACATAAAATAAAACAAAACCGAAAATGCAAATAATAAACAATAATAATGCAATTACATAATCTCTCTTTCCTTCCCTCCTTCCCTTCCCTCCCTCTTTCTCCCTCCCTCCCCTGCTTTTTCATCCTTCCTGCCTCCCCTCTTTTCTCTCTCCTTCCTTCCTTCCTTCCTTCCTTCCTTCCTTCCTTCCTTCCTTCCTTCCATCTTCCTTCCTGCCTTCTATCTTTCCTTCCTTCTTTCCTTCCTGCCTTCCTTCCTTCCCTCCTTCCTTTCCTTCCTTTCCTTCCTTTCCTTCCTTTCCTTCCTTTCCTTCCTTCCTGCCATCTTTCTTTCCTTCTTTCCTTCTTTCCTTTTTCTTTCCTTCCCTCTTTCCTTCCTTTCCTTCTTGCCTTTTCAGGTTCTAACAGGAAATTCAATGATCACAATCAACATCGATAATATATTCATCATCTGTATTGAAGCCAGGAGGCCCCCCTTCCCAGTGGCACTTTCTCCCTCCCTCCCTTCTTTCCTTCTCTCCCTCTTTTTCTTTCTTCTCCTTCCTTCCTTCCTTCCTTCCTTCCTTCCTTCTTCTTCCTTCCTTCTTCTTCTTCTCTTTCTCCCTCCCTCCCCTTCTCTCTTTTCCCTTCCTGCCTCCCCTCTTTCCTCTCTCCTTCCTTCCTTCCTTCCTTCCTTCCTTCCTTCCTTCCTTCCTTCCTTCCTACCTACCTACCTACCTTCCTTCCCTTTCTCCCTCCCTCCCCTTCTACACTTTCATCCTGCCTCCCCTCTTTCCTCCTTCCTTCCTTCCCTTATTTCCCTCTTTCTCCCTCCCTCCCCTTTCACTCTTTCATTCTTCCTTCCCTCTTTCTCCCTCCCCTTCTACTCTTTCATCCTCCGCAGCCTGCCTCCCCTTCTCCTCCTTCCTTCCGTCCTTCCTTCCTTCTTCCTCCCCTTCCCTCCTTTTCTCCCCCCTTCTACTTTCATCCTTCCTTCCTCCCCTCTTTTCTTTCCTTCCCTCTCTCTCCTCCCTCCCTTCTCTTTCTCCTCCTTCCTCCTCTCTTCCTCTCCCTTCCTTCCTTTCTTCCTTCCTTCCCTTCCCTTCCCTCTTTCTCCCTCCCTCCCTACTCTTTCATCCTTCCTGCCTCCCCTCTATTCCTCTCTCCTTCTTTCCTTCTTTCCTTCTTTCCTTCTTTCCTTCCTTCCTTCCTTCCTCCCTTCCCTTCCCCTTCCTTCCTCTTCTTCCCTCCCTCCTTCTTCTCCTTCCTCTTCCCTTCCTTTCCTTTCCTTCCTTCTTCCTTCCTTCCTTCCTCTCCTTTCTTCCTTCCTTCCTTCCCTTCCCTTCCCTTCCTTCCTTCCCTTCCCTTCCCTTCCCTCTTTCCTCCTCCCCTCTTCTCCTTCCTCCCCCTCTTCCTCTCCTTTCCTCTTCCTTCCTTCCTTCCTTCCTTCTTCTTCCTTCCTTCTTCCCTTCCCTTCCCTTCCCTTCCCTTCCCTTCCCTCTTTCTCTCTCCCTCCCTACTCTTTCATCCTTCCTGCCTCCCCTCTTTCCTCTCTCCTTCCTTCCATAATATTTCAACTGACCAGGAGTGTCTTATCTGGATTCAATTTCAATTTGTTCACCCTCATCCAGACCATCACAGCGGCCAAGCACCGGTTCAGGACCTGGACAGCTTCCTTAGTAGCAGGTGGGAAGGAGATGATCACAACAAAAGAGAGGATATCTAGCCCATGTCCTGTCTTTTTATATCCTTGCCCTTCTGGGCCCATCTCTGTGGACACCTCCGGATATTGCATCCATCTGTCTTGGCCGGCTATGTCATCCTCCGTCCATGTACTCAGTAACGTAACTCCTCAGTTGCCAATCCTACCAGGTACATGCCTTTCGACTGGTCCACCCATCATGAATAGCTACAACTCCCAGGAATCCATAGTATGGATCCCTGGCATTTGTGAGTAGTTGTAATGTCACAAAAATATCATTGCAGATTTGGTAAATGTGGTTTCAATGATGTGTGGGAATGAATGGAAGAATGTACGGATGGAGTTAATAATTTTGGAGACACCAGTAAAATATTAAGACTTGCAATGACTTAACTACCTGCTTGCTAGACTGTGATTAAAACCTGCTAATAAGAGCTGAAAAGTAAACTCTGAAAAGAATTGGGACATTGATAACAGAAATGTTTACAATGTTAAGAAGGAAGTCAACATAAGATCAACACCAATCAAGAAGATCAACATTTGGCCAGGAAACTGAGATGGAGCCAGGATGGAAGACATCTATCATTCATTACAACTATAGAATCATAGAATCAAAGAGTTGGAAGGGACCTCCTGGGCCATCCAGTCCAACCCCATTCTGCCAAGAAGCAGGAATATTGCATTCAAATCACCCCTGACAGATGGCCATCCAGCCTCTGTTTAAAAGCCTCCAAAGAAGGAGCCTCCACCACACTCCGGGGCAGAGAGTTCCACTGCTGAACGGCTCTCACAGTCAGGAAGTTCTTCCTCATGTTCAGATGGAATCTCCTTTCTTGTAGTTTGAAGCCATTGTTCCACGTCCTAGTCTCCAGGGAAGCAGAAAACAAGCTTGCTCCCTCCTCCCTATGAGTTCCTCGCTAGACTACATCAACATAATATTTCTATAAAAGACTCCATCTAATAATGCTCAAAGTGTGGCAGACCCGAGGAGCCTGTCCCACCCTCCATGCTCTTCTCCATGGGAAGGAGAGAGATAGTGTACCTATGGATAGTGGCAGATTTGCAAGGGAGCAGTCTGGTCACTTTGGGGCTTCTTTCTCAAAGGAAGAGGAAGAGTGAACTGTTGGAGTCTTGGATTCTGTGCAGGGAGTCAGGTTCTGCTTAAGAAAAACAAAGATCTGGTCCTTGGCATTGTTCTTAGGGAAAGAAGTTTTGGCATTTTGGCGTTTTGAAGTATTGGTGTTATGGAACTATACATTGACAGGTTGCAGGAAAGCAGGGTCTGGCCAAAGAGGTGCTTCTCCAAGGAGGGAGAATATTTGGGTGCAAGAGGATGAATGCATGTGCATATGTGTGAATGTTGAGCAAAAATGTAATTCCCCTTTGTTTGTTTGTTAGCCATGCTTGTGTTATTGGATCTCACAGCAGCATTTGACACAGTTGACCACAATCTTTTGACCCACCGCCTTGCTGTTGCTGGAGTCAGGGGGAGAGCTTTAAACTGGCTCCCCTCCTTTCTTCCCAACCATGGGCAGTGAGTGGAGAGGGGAGGCCTGGTCTCGGAGAGGTACCCCCTCTCTCTCTTGTGGGGTTCCTCAGGGGGCCATTCCCTCCCCTCTGTTGTTTAACATCTATATGCGACCACTTGCTCAGCTGGTTCGAGGTTTTGGGCTGGAGTGTGACCAGTATGCTGATGACACTGAGCTGGTGCTGAAGATGAAAGGCCGACCGGACTCTGTACCCGATTGTTTCCATCAGTGCCTCGAGGCCGTGACTGGATGGCTGCGTGCCAGCAGGTTGAGGGTGAATCCAGCAAAGACGGAGATCCTATGGCTGGGCCAACCGGGCAGTGGGGATATCCAGATGCCTACTCTGGACGGCGAGGCGCTACGCCCGTCATCGTTGGTCAAGAGTCTGGGAGTCCTTTTGGACCCTCTGCTGACAATGGAGGCCCAGGTCTCCGCCGTGAGCAGAACCACCTTCTTTCACCTGCGGCAGGCTAGACGGCTGGCCCCCTCCCTGTCCAAGGAAGACCTGGCTACGGTGATCCAGGCCACGGTCATCTCAAGACTGGACTACGGTAACGGCCTCTCCATTGGCGGTGATCCGGAAGCTCAAGTTGGTACAAAATGCAGCTGCTCGGCTTCTTGCGGGAATTCCGCTGAGATGCCACATCACCCCAATCTTCCTGCAGCTGCATTGGTTACCAATTGAGCACCGGATCACTTTCAAAGGGATGGTTCTCACCTTGAAGGCCTTGCATGGTCTGGGGCCGATGTACCTGAGGGACCGCCTCACCCCCTCCCAACCCCAGAGATCCCTCCATTCTGAGGACCAAGATCTATTGGAAATTCCCAGTGTCAAGACCTTGCGCCTAACAGCAACCAGGCACAGAGCTTTCACAGCAGTGGCACTATCGCTCTGGAACACTCTGCCACCTGAAGTCCGTTCCTTGAGGGACTTACCAGCTTTCCGCAGGGCATGTAAGACATACCTGTTTCGACAGGCCTTTGATCTTTGATATTGCTGTTTTTAAATTGTTTTAAATTGTTTTTAAATTGTGTTAGATTTTAGCCGTTCTTGTAAGCCGCTCCGAGCCCCAGGGGAGTGGCCGCATAGAAGTTCGGATAATAAATAAATAAAATAATTGTAAATCCAAGGTAGTTGCATAGAGTCTGTATGTCTGTATATCTAAATGTTTTTCTGTAATTTGATCTACCCTCTCACACTGGAAATTGCAATAAAAAGATCCTATGCTTTAAAGTCATTGAAAAGTCATTCGTGACAGTAACTGTACATATTTTTGGAACAGGAATGAAGATATGTGGTCGAGGGCTCTCAGCAAAGGGCACGGTTACCGAGTGTTTGTTTAATTACAGCACGGAGGCGGAAAGAGCAGCTGAGACACACCAGTTTTAGAAGTGGATGCCTCAGATCAATGTTCACGATCAGGAGGCGGCAAAATCCAGGGATCCCTCGGCATGAGCCCAAGTGCCTTTTTGGGGACCCCTGACAGTAGCATGGTGAGTCAACAGGATTCCATAGCATTGAGCCTGGCAGTTGGAAGTGGTGTCCAACTACAGTCGTTCTGCAGTCTAAATGCACCTGATAATAATAATAATAATAATAATAATAATACTTTCCTTTACACCCCGCCACCATCTCCCCAATGGGGACTTTATTAATGACTTAGATGAAGGGTTAGAAGGCAGGATCATCAGGTTTGCAGACGACACCAAATTGGGAGGGAGAGCCAATACTCCAGAGGACAGGAGCAGGATTCAAAACGATATTGACAGATTAGAGAGATGATGGGCCAAAACTAACAAAATGAAGTTCAACAGGGACAAATGCAAGATACTCCACTTTGGCAGGAAAAACGAAATGCAAAGATACAGAATGGGGGACAATGCCTGGCTCGAGAGCAGTACGTGTGAAAAAGATCTTGGAGTCCTCATGGACAGCAAGTTAAACATGAGCCAACAATGTGATGTGGCGGCAAAAAAAGCCAATGGGATTGTGGCCTGCATCAAGAGGAGCATAGGGTCTAGGTCCAGGGAAGTAATGCTACCCCTCTATTCTGCTTTGGTTAGACCACACCTGGAATATTGTGTCCAATTCTGGGCACCCCAATTCAAGAGAGATATTGACAAGCTGGAATGTGTCCAGAGGAGGGCGACTAAAATGATCAAGGGTCTGGAGAACAAGCCCTATGAGGAGCGGCTTAAGGAGCTGGGCATGTTTAGCCTGAAGAAGAGAAGGCTGAGAGGAGATATGATAGCCATGTATAAATATGTGAGAGGAAGCCACAGGGAGGAGGGAGCAAGCTTGTTTTCTGCTTCCTTGCAGACTAGGACGCAATGGAACAATGGCTTCAAACTACAAGAGAGGAGATTCCATCTGAACATGAGGAAGAACTTCCTGACTGTGAGAGCCGTTCAGCAGTGGAACTCTCTGCCCCGGAGTGTGGTGGAGGCTCCTTCTTTGGAAGCTTTTAAACAGAGGCTGGATGGCCATCTGTCAGGGGTGCTTTGAATGCACTATTCCTGCTTCTTGGCAGGGGGTTGGACTGGATGGCGCATGAGGTCTCTTCCAACTCTTTGATTCTATGATTCTATGACTCGGGGTGGCTTACATGAGGCCAAGCCCAATCAACATATTACAACAAAATAAAGTCAAAAACACATGCAATAAACAACAACATCATAATTGCATAAAACATATGAATACAATAATGATATAAGATTACAATAAACACAGTCACAGTGACAATGGGTGACTACATGTGTGAGAAAATGATTAAAAAAACAGATTAAAACCGATAAAAACATGGGTGAGATAAAAGGAGAAGCGGGTTATTTGCGGAGGGGGGCTCATTAAAACGAGGATTGAGGAATCGAGCTTTCCCACAAAGGGGGGGGGGACGACGTATAGGAGTATACACCCCCCCCTTTGTGAGAAAGCTCAATTCCACAATTTGTCATTGGACAAAAACGTTGAGGCTGAGCAATAGCATGAAGTTGTGTACCTACTCACTAAAGGCGCAGTGGAAGAGCCAGGTTTTAAGGTCCTTTTTAAAAGTTTCTAAGGTAGGGACTTTCCTAATCTCTCCAGGTAATGAGTTCCAGAGTTGAGGGGCCACAGAGGAGAAAGCTCTCTCCCTTGTGCTCACCAGGCGAGCTTGTGAGACTGGCAGGGACAAAAGGAGGGCCTCCCCAGAAGATCGGAGGGCCTGGGCTGGTTCATGGAGGGAAATACGGTCACAAAGGTAGGCAGGTCCCAAACCGTTTAGGGCTTTGTAAGTGATAACCTGCACCTTGAATTGCGACCGGAAAATGAACGGCAGCCAGTGGAAATCCTTAAACAGGGGAGTAGACCACTCCCTGTAACTAGCCCAAGTTATTAATCTGGCTGCCGAACGTTGGACAAGTCTTCAAGGGTAGCCCCACGTAGAGTGCATTGCAGTAGTCCAGTCTAGAGGTAACTAAGGCATGGACCACTGTGGTCAAGTCAGACTTCATGAGTTAAGGTCGCAGTTGGCGCACGGGTTTTAATTGTGCAAAGGCCCTCCCAGCCACCGCCGACACCTGTGCATCAAGCGTCAGCGCTGAGTCCAGGAGGACCCCCAAACTGCAGACCTGTGATTTCGGGGGGGGGGGGGGGTCCCACCTCCAAGGCGCACAGGTGTGTTTTGCTCTGCCACTGGGACTCCGGCTCACCTTTATGTGAAGTTTCTGGCTTGGAGCTCTGCTGGCTGGTCAGGTTCACCAGGTGGTCCAGGGCTTCTGTGGGAGGCGGAGGAGGCCTGCAGGACAGAGAAAGGGGACACCCTCAAGAGAAAGGAGTCGCAATGGGAACGCTCCCTTCCAAATTAAGGGAATGGCCAATCTGCGCCTGGGTTCACTCCGAACTTTAAATTAGCTGTCCAAGGACTTAAGAGCTCTCTGCTGGTTACAATGCTCAGAAAGTGGGATGTGCCTACACTGTTGAACAAATGCATTTTCATAGAATAATTGAGTTGGAAGAGACCTCATGGGCCATCTAGTCCAACCTCCCACCAAGAAGCAGGAAAATCACATTCAAAGCTAAGAGAGATATTGACAAGCTGGAATGTGTCCAGAGGAGGGCGACTCAAATGATCAAGGGTCTGGAGAACAAGCCCTATGAGGAGCGGCTTAAGGAGCTGGGCATGTTTAGCCTGAAGAAGAGAAGGCTGAGAGGAGACATGATGAGGGCCATGTACAAATATGTGAGAGGAAGCCACAGGGAGGAGGGAGCAAGCTTGTTTTCTGGAACAATGGCTTCAAACTACAAGAGAGGAGATTCCATCTGAACATTAGGAAGAACTTCCTGACTGTGAGGGCCGTTCAGCAGTGGAACTCTCTGCCGCGGAGTGTGGTGGAGGCTCCTTCTTTGGAAGCTTTGAAGCAGAGGCTGGATGGCCATCTGTCAGGGGTGATTTGAATGCAACATTCCTGCTTCTTGGCAGAATGGGGTTGGACTGGATTTATTTATTTTATTTATTTATTTACATCACTTATATCCCGCCCATATCAGCCCGCAGGCGACTCAGGGCCGTCTACATATCGGCACAATTCGATGCCATCAATACAATACAAAAGCAAAAACAGTTAAGTGCATTTAGACAAAAAGACAGTGCAATGACAATTTAAAAAGAGCTCTATCCTCTCATTCCAATCCTCGTCCATTTCATCGTCTTGGCCGTTCCTGGGTCATTCTCCATCTCAAGCTTGACTATCTATTCCGGGGTTCCGAATGCCTGCTCGAAGAGCCAGTTTTTCACTCTCTTACGAAAGGTCAGGAGGGAGGGGGCTGACCTAATATCCCTAGGCAAGGAGTTCCACAGCCGAGGGGCCACCACAGAGAAGGCCCTGTCTCTCGTCCCCGCCAAGCGTGCTTGCGAAGCAGACGGGATCGAGAGCAGGGCCTCCTCAGATGATCTTAACTTCCTGGAGGGTTCGTAGGAGGAGATGCGTTCAGATAGGTAGGCTGGGCCAGAACCGTTTGGATGGCCCATGAGGTCTCTTCCAACTCTAGGATTCTATGATTCTATGATTCTAAAGCATTCCTGCTAGATGTCCATCCAGCCTCTGTTTGACACTACTTTAGCTGCCATAGTACAATGGAATCCTGGGAGAGCTTTTTGATGGAGACCTTGCAAAAACTACAACTCCAATGGCTCCACTCCACTGAGTCTTTAGCATGAATTTTAAATGTCTGTAGACTGTTCCTTTGTTTTGGATGTAGGTTTGATTCTAAAGTCAATTCCAATTTTCACAGAAAAAAATGTTCAAAACTTTTCAAAACATCTGAGACTTCTGAATCTTATCGTTAATAGTTTGAAAGTGTTATTTCCTGTTTCATTGGGTGGTCTTTACTTTGAAAGTAATTGTTTTACCCCAGAAGTGGGGAGAAGCAAGTGGATGAAATTCCTTTCTTCTCTGGTTTAAAACTGGCTTCTCTGGCTTTAATACTGGCTTCCCTGGCTTGAGCCGAGGCCAGGAAATTCCTTCCTTTTCTGGTTTAAAACTGGCTTCTCTGGCTTTTGCTGAGGCCAGGGACCAGAAGCGGGGAAAAGCAAATGGAGGAAATTCTTTCCTTCTCTGGTTTAAAACCAGCTTCTCTGGCTTTAAAACTGGCTTCTCCAGCTTGAGCCAAGACCAGGAAATTCCTTCCTTTTCTGGTTTGAAACTGACTTCTCTGGCTTGAGCTGAGGCCAGGGACCAGAAGCGGGGAAAAGCAAATGGAGTAAATTCCTTCCTTCTCTGGTTAAAACCACTTCTCTGGCTTTAAAACTGGCTTCTCTGGTTTGAGCCGAGGCCAGGAAATTTTTTCCTTCTCTGGTTTAAAACTGGCTTCTCTGGCTTGAGCTGAGGCCAGGGACCAGAAGCGGGGGAAAGCAAATGGAGGAAATTCCTTCCTTCTCTGGTTTAAAACTGGCTTCTCTGGCTTTAAAACTGGCTTCTCTGGCTTGAGCCGAGGCCAGGAAATTCCTTCCTTCTCTGGTTTAAAACTGCTTCTCTGGCTTTAAAACTGGCTTCTCTAGCTTGAGCCAAGACCAGGAAATTCCTTCCTTTTCTGGTTTAAAACTGGCTTCTCTAGCTTGAGCCAAGACCAGGAAATTCCTTCCTTTTCTGGTTTAAAACTGGCTTCTCTAGCTTGAGCCAAGACCAGGAAATTCCTTCCTTTTCTGGTTTAAAACCAGCTTCTCTGGCTTTAAAACTGGCTTCTCTAGCTTGAGCCAAGACCAGGAAATTCCTTCCTTCTCTGGTTTAAAACCAGCTTCTCTGGCTTTAAAACTGGCTTCTCTAGCTTCTGGTTTAAAACTGGCTTCTCTAGCTTGAGCCAAGACCAGGAAATTCCTTCCTTTTCTGGTTTAAAACTGGCTTCTCTGGCTTGAGCCGAGGCCAGGAAATTCCTTCCTTTTCTGGTTTAAAACTGGCTTCTCTGGCTTGAGCCGAGGCCAAGGACCAGAAGCGGGGAAAAGCAAATGGAGTAAATTCCTTCCTTCTCTGGTTAAAACCACTTCTCTGGCTTTAAAACTGGCTTCTCTGGTTTGAGCAGAGGCCAGGAAATTCCTTCCTTTTCTGGTTTAAAACTGGCTTCTCTGGCTTTTGCTGAGGCTAGGGACCAGAAGCGGGGAAAAGCAAATGGAGGAAATTCTTTCCTTCTCTGGTTTAAAACCAGCTTCTCTGGCTTTAAAACTGGCTTCTCTAGCTTGAGCCAAGACCAGGAAATTCCTTCCTTTTCTGGTTTGAAACTGACTTCTCTGGCTTGAGCTGAGGCCAGGGACCAGAAGCGGGGAAAAGCAAATGGAGTAAATTCCTTCCTTCTCTGGTTAAAACCACTTCTCTGGCTTTAAAACTGGCTTCTCTGGTTTGAGCAGAGGCCAGGAAATTCCTTCCTTTTCTGGTTTAAAACTGGCTTCTCTGGCTTTTGCTGAGGCTAGGGACCAGAAGCGGGGAAAAGCAAATGGAGGAAATTCCTTCCTTCTCTGGTTTAAAACCGCTTCTCTGGCTTTAAAACTGGCTTCTCTGGTTTGAGCAGAGGCCAGGAAATTCCTTCCTTTTCTGGTTTAAAACCAGCTTCTCTGGCTTTAAAACTGGCTTCTCTGGCTTGAGCCGAGGCCAGGAAATTCCTTCCTTTTCTGGTTTAAAACTGGCTTCTCTAGCTTGAGCCAAGACCAGGAAATTCCTTCCTTTTCTGGTTTAAAACTGGCTTCTCTAGCTTGAGCCAAGACCAGGAAATTCCTTCCTTTTCTGGTTTAAAACCAGCTTCTCTGGCTTTAAAACTGGCTTCTCTAGCTTGAGCTAAGACCAGGAAATTCCTTCCTTTTCTGGTTTAAAACCAGCTTCTCTGGCTTTAAAACTGGCTTCTCTAGCTTGAGCCAAGACCAGGAAATTCCTTCCTTTTCTGGTTTAAAACTGGCTTCTCTAGCTTGAGCCAAGACCAGGAAATTCCTTCCTTTTCTGGTTTAAAACTGGCTTCTCTAGCTTGAGCCAAGACCAGGAAATTCCTTCCTTTTCTGGTTTAAAACTGGCTTCTCTGGCTTGAGCTGAGGCCAGGGACCAGAAGCGGGGAAAAGCAAATGGAGTAAATTCCTTCCTTCTCTGGTTAAAACCACTTCTCTGGCTTTAAAACTGGCTTCTCTGGTTTGAGCAGAGGCCAGGAAATTCCTTCCTTTTCTGGTTTAAAACTGGCTTCTCTGGCTTTTGCTGAGGCTAGGGACCAGAAGCGGGGAAAAGCAAATGGAGGAAATTCTTTCCTTCTCTGGTTTAAAACCAGCTTCTCTGGCTTTAAAACTGGCTTCTCTAGCTTGAGCCAAGACCAGGAAATTCCTTCCTTTTCTGGTTTGAAACTGACTTCTCTGGCTTGAGCTGAGGCCAGGGACCAGAAGCGGGGAAAAGCAAATGGAGTAAATTCCTTCCTTCTCTGGTTAAAACCACTTCTCTGGCTTTAAAACTGGCTTCTCTGGTTTGAGCAGAGGCCAGGAAATTCCTTCCTTTTCTGGTTTAAAACTGGCTTCTCTGGCTTGAGCTGAGGCCAGGGACCAGAAGTGGGGAAAAGCAAATGGAGGAAATTCCTTCCTTCTCTGGTTTAAAACCGGCTTCTCTGGCTTTAAAACTGGCTTCTCTGGCTTGAGCTGAGGCCAGGAAATTCCTTCCTTTTCTGGTTTAAAACTGGCTTCTCTGGCTTGAGCTGAGGCCAGGGACCAGAAGTGGGGAAAAGCAAATGGAGGAAATTCCTTCCTTCTCTGGCTTTAAAACTGGCTTCTCTGGCTTGAGCTGAGGCCAGGGACCAGAAGCGGGGAAAACTGAATAATTTTGAGTCATGAGTCATAACAAAAATGGCGGAAAAAGCTTCAGAAGGGCAAAGGGACTTCCAGTTTTCTTTGAAACTTCAAAATCGCTTCAATATGGTATTTATTACAAAATTACGAAGATTCCGATGGTACCTAACCATGCCTATTGCCTACATATATCTATATCTATAAATCTGTAAGTGGCATCCAACGGGACAGCAAAACTCAAAAAAACCCCAACGAAAATTAACCAAAATTCCCATGCACTTACCTCAACCCACAAGGTACAAACATATCGAATCAAAATAAAAAACAACACAACAACACACTCACAAAACGACAAAACAACTGAGCGTGCGCAATGGCACCCAGCTGCAAGTTCCCTGGCGCGCGCACATGGCCTGCCGGCCAACGCTCCCTCCGCGCAAGCCACACCCCCATCCTCCCGCCGCGCCCCTTCCCGCAGTCAAAACCATCCCCCCTCCCCCCTTCATCTAACCCCGCCCACGCCACCTCCAAGCACTGCCCCGCCCACTCCAAGCCTCGCTGCGCCGCTTCCCGCCCTGTCAAAACCATCCCTCCTCCCCCTCCTTCATCTAACCCAGCCCAGCCCATGCCCCCTTCCTTCGCCCCCCACCCCTTCCTTCCCTCCCTCACTCAATCCTTCCCTCCTCCCACCCCCCTCCGGTAAGACACGCCCCCTTCCTTCGCCCCGGCGGGCCCAATCAAGGAAGAGGAAAAACATTGAAGGAAGGAAGGAAACAGAGAAGGAAACATGGAAGCAAAGAGTGAAGGAAAGAAGGAAAGAGGTAGAGAAGGAAGAAAAGAGAGAAAGAGGAAATGAAGAGGGATGGAAAGAAATGGGTAGAGAAAGAAGGAAGGAGATAAGGAAAGAAAAGGAAGGAAAGAGGAGTGAAGGAAGAAGAGAAAGAGGGGGGAAGGAAGGACAGAAAAAAAGGAAGAATGGAAACAAAAACCAAAGGAAGGAAGGAAGGAAAGAGGCAGAGAAGGAAGAAAGAGAAAGGGAAAGAAAAGAAAAAAGGAAGAAGGAAAGAGGAAGAGAAGGAAGGAAGGAGAGAAGGAAAGAAGAAAAGGGAATGAGGGAAAGAAGGAGAGAAAGAGGGAGGTAAGGTGGGCCACAGCAACGCGTGGCAGAGTACAGCTAGTTCTACAATAAAATGCTTACTGATTTTACCAAGCTGGTGTGGTGTTTAAGGTCAGAGGTGTTTCTGCTGTAGAGTAGAGAAGCCAGACTTTCACATTTGCTGAGGTTTGGGGTGTAAGACCCCCCCCCCCCAAAAGTTGCAAATAGTAAGAATGCAATGGGAAGCATTTGGCACATCTCACCGTGTGGGTTTGTCGCTCTTCCCGCGGTGGTGGCCTTCGTGGACTTCTCTGGTCCTGGGAGGCAGCGTGGTTTCGTGCGTCTCGTGCTGCAAGGAGAAAAAAGAGAGCAGGATGCATTCGCTAACATTGGAACCACACAATCTGTTGCAATCTCCAAATGTGCAAAAATTTGGAGACACGAGAGTCTCTAATAGTAAACAATGAAAACCTTTGCCCTTTGAGGTTTCATTATGCACAAAATACACATTTTGGTGGTCTTGTGCATTTTTGTGGCCAGAGAGCAGTAATTACCACAAATATTTCATTGCAGAGATATTATTTCCATCTCAGAAGTATTAGCATAGATTTCCTAGAGTTACACAGTGTAATGTATTCCCACTTTTCTCTCGCTTGATCGAGACCCAAAGCAGCTCACTACATTTTAAAATAATACAAATTACAATGTATTGTCGAAGGCTTTCATGGCCGGAATCACTGGGTTGTTGTAGTTTTTTTCGGGCTATATGGCCATGTTCTAGAGGCATTCTCTCCTGACGTTTCGCCTGCATCTATGGCAAGCATCCTCATTGGTAGTGAAGTCTGTTGGAACTAGGAAAATGGGTTTATATATCTGTGGAATGACCAGGGTGGGACAAAGAACTCTTGTCTGCTGGAGCTAGGTGTGAAGGTTTCAACTGACCACCTTTATTAGCATTTGATGGCCTGGCAGTGCCTGGGGGAATCTTTTGTTGAGAGGTGATTAGATGTCCTTGGGTTGTTGTAGGTTTTTTCGGGCTATCTGGCCATGTTCTAGAGGCATTCTCTCCTGACGTTTCGCCTGCATCTATGGCAAGCATCCTCAGAGGTAGTGAGGTCTGTTGGAATTAGGAAAAGGGTTTATATATCTGTGGAATGACCAGGGTGGGACAAAGAACTCTTGTCTGCTGGAGCTAGGTGTGAATGTTTCAACTGACCACCTTTATTAGCATTTGATGGCCTGGCAGTGCCTGGGGCAATCTTTTGTTTAGAGGTGATTAGATGTCCTAGATTGTGCTGTTTTGCTGTTGTAATTTTAGAGTTTTTAAATACTGTATTATTATTATTATTATTATTATTATTATTAGTTTTTTTTTTTCGGGCTATAGGGCCATGTTCTAGAGGCATTTCTCCTGACGTTTCGCCTGCATCTATGGCAAGCATCCTCAGAGGTAGTGAGGTCTGTTGGAATTAGGACAATGGGTTTATATATCTGTGGAATGACCAGGGTGGGACAAAGAACTCTTGTCTGCTGGAGCTAGGTGGGAATGTTTCAACTGATCACCTTGATTAGCATTTGATGGCCTGGCAGTGCCTGGAGCAATCTTTTGTTGAGAGGTGATTAGATGTCCTTGTTTGTTTCCTCTCTGTTGTTGTGCTGTTGTAATTTTAGAGTTTTTTTTAATACTGGTAGCCAGATTTTGTTCATTTTCATGGTTTCTTCCTTTCTGTTGAAATTGTCCACATGCTTCTGGTGGATTTCAATGGCTTCTCTGTGTCGTCTGACACAAATTACACTTTATCTCTATAAATAAAAATGTAATGTCCATTTGTGGGATTAACAGAACTCAAAAACCACTGGACGAATTGACACCAAATTTGGACACAAGACACCTAACAACCCAATGTATGTCCTTCACTCAAAAAATATTGATTTTGTCATTTGGGAGTTGTAGTTGCTGGGATTTTTAGTTCACTTACAATCAAAGAGCATTCTGAACCCCACTAATGTTGGAATTGAACCAAACTTGGCACACAGTTCTCCCATGACCAACAGAAAACACTGGAAAGGTTTGGTGGGCAGTGTCCTTTGGTTTGGGAGTTGTAGTTCACCCACATCCAGAGATCACTGTGGACTCAAACAATGATGGATCTGGACCAAACTCTACACGAATACCCCATATGCCCAAATGTGAACACTGGTGGAATTTGGGTGGAAATAGAATCATGACATTTGGGAGTTGTAGTTGCTGGGATGTATAGTTCACCTACAATCACAGAGCATTCTGAACCCCACCAACGACAGAATTGGGCCAAACCTCCCACACAGAACCCCCATGTGGGCCACAACAACGCGTGGCAGGGGATGGCTAGTAACATATAAATATTAAAATAGAATTAAACCAACAATTGTTAATGTCTTTGCAAAGATGTGCTGCAAAGCCCAGTTTGGGAACGCTAGGCTTGACTCCGATTGAGCCGCAAACTCACTTTCCAGTCTGGATCCTGCTTTTTCTTTTCAGTGGACGACTTTTCTCGCTCCCTCGCTTTCTTGTAAGCCTTCTTCTTCTCTTCTGCCATCAGCAGGCGGGCGATTTCCTAACGGGGAAAACAACACACTGAAATACACACACACACACACACACACACACACAAATAGGACAAGATACAGGTGAGCAAAACCCCAGGGCCACTTCAAGCAGCATTCCTTGGGGTCAGGCCACTGTCCGTCTGCAAGAAAGAAGGAGCCGTGCCCCAAAGGGGTCAATCACTGGACCAGACTGGGTCTCCAGGCTGGAAACTGGCTCGATTGCATAGACGAGGTGGGTGGGCTCCAAGAAGGAAGCCAGGGTTGCCCCGACTCTTGTCATTCATGATGGGGCTCAAGGTACATTAACTACAGCAACCATGTCCATAACTCAAGGGTCTGGAGAACAAGCCCCATGAGGAGCGGCTTAAGGAGCTGGGCATGTTTAGCCTGAAGAAGAGAAGGCTGAGAGGAGATATGATAGCCATGTATAAATACGTGAGAGGAAGCCACAGGGAGGAGGAGGGAGCAAGCTTGTTTTCTGCTTCCCTGGAGACTAGGACGCAAGGGAGCCATGGCTTCAAACTACAAGAGAGGAGATTCCATCTGAACATTAGGAAGAACTTCCTGACTGTGAGAGCTGTTCAGCAGTGGAACTCTCTGCCCCGGAGTGTGGTGGAGGCTCCTTCTTTGGAGGCTTTTAAACAGAGGCTGGATGGCCATCTGTCAGGGGTGATTTGAATGCAATATTCCTGCTTCTTGGCAGAATGGGGTTGGACTGGATGCATACTATATACTATAAATGCATACTATACACACACACACACACACAGAGCTCTGGCATGGGCTGGTTCATGAGGTCATGAAGAGTCGGAAGCGACTGAATGAATGAACAGCAAACAACACACACATATTTATATATACATACATACACATGCATATTCATATACCTCTACACACATATGCATATGCGCATATATATACACACACAGATACACTCACATACTTATTTATATATACATACACATCCGTATGCACATAAATTTATATATATATACATACACATGCACACACATATATTTATTTATATATACACATTCATACACACATATATGCGCATACACACATATATACACACACATTTATATATTCATACACATGCACGCACACACACATATTTATATACATATATATAAACATACATACACACACACACACACACACATATATATATATATATACTCTGCCCTCCATCAAATAAGCCCTAACAAGAAAATAAGCCCTAGCATGATTGCTCAGTATGCTTGTATTGTTGTTGTTGTTGTTGTTGTTGTTGTTGTTGTTATATTTGATACCCCTGCTTTTTCTCTCTACACAGAGACTCAAAGCGGCCTGCATTAAAAGCATTTCATACAATCCTAGAATCCTAGAGTGGGAAGAGACCTCATGGGCCATCATCCAGTCCAACCGCATTCTGCCAAGAAGCAGGAATATTGCCTTCAAAGCACCCCCGACAGATGGCCATCCAGCCTCTGCTTAAAAGCTTCCAAAGAAGGAGCCTCCACCACACTCCGGGGCAGAGAGTTCCACTGCTGAACAGCTCTCACAGTTCGGAAGTTCTTCCTCATGTTCAGGTGGAATCTCCTCTCTTGTAATTTGAAGCCATTGTTCCATTGCGTCCTAGTCTCCAAGGAAGTAGAAAACAAGCTTGCTCCCTCCTCCTCCCTGTGGCTTCCTCTCACATACTTATACATGGCTATCATATCTCCTCTCAACCTTTCTTTTCTTCAGGCTAAACATGCCCAGCTCCTTAAGCTGCTCCTCATAGGGCTTGTTCTCCAGACCCTTGACACATTCCAGCTTAGAGTCAATATCTCTCTTGAATTGTGGTGCCCAGAATTGGACACAATATTCCAGGTAATGTGGTCTAACCAAAGCAGAATAGAGCATGGGGAGCATGACTTCCCTAGATCTAGACACTAGGCTCCTCTTGATGCAGGCCAAAATCCCATTGGCTTTTTTTTGCCGCCACATCACATTGTTGGCTCATGTTTAACTTGTTGTCCACGAGGACTCCAAGATCTTTTTCACACGTCCTGCTCTCAAGCCAGGCATCGTCCCCCATTCTGTATCTTTGCATTTCATTTTTTCTGCCTAAGTGGAGTATCTTGCATTTGTCCCTGTTGAACTTCATTTTGTTAGTTTTGGCCCATCATCTCTCTAATCTGCGGAGATCCCTTTGGAACCTGCTCCTGTCCTCTGGAGTATTGGCTATCCCTCCCTATTTGGCATATGCACGAATTTATATATATACATGCACACAGATGCACACACATATATTTATATATATACATACATACATACATATATGCACACATATTTATATACATATACATACACATGCATAAACACATATATTTTATATATATACATACACATACATACATACATATATGCACACATATTTATATACATATACATACACATGCATAAACACATATATTTTATATATATACATATACATGCACACACACATTTATATACCTATACATACAGAAACAGATATATTTATATATATACATGCACACACAAATACACACACACACGCATATATGTGTGTATTTGTGTGTGCATATATATATAAATATATGTGTGTATGTATAGATATATAAATATGTGTGTGCATGTGTATGTATATACAGAAAAATATGTGTGTGTATGCATGTGTATGTAAATGTATATAAATATGTGTGCATATATGTATGTGCGTGTGTGTGTATGTATATATATATATATGAGTGTATCTGTGTGCATGTATATATATATATATATATATAAATATGTGCATATGCATATATGAGTAGAGATTATATATTTATATATGCACATACACATATGCACACATTTATACACACATATTTATATATTCATACACATGCACACACACACATATAAACACACACACATATTTATATACATATACATAAACATACACACACATATTTATATATACATACATACACACATACTTATATACTTCTACACACATATGCATATGCACATATTTATATATATACATGTACACAGATAGTTTTCAGAGAAATATGGTATATACATGTGTGTGTGTGTATATATATATATATATGTGTGTGTGTGTGTGTGTGCATATGGTGGATGAGAACATCGATGGTTTGGGTCTTCTGAGATGCATTTTATCTGGAGATGGCGATCCATCTAAGAATGCATCTACACCATAAAATTAATGCAGTTTGATACCACTTTAACTTCTGTGGCTCAATACCATGGAAACAGGGGATTTGTATTTTCTGAGGCACCAGCACTCTTTGTCAGAGAAGGATAGAGCAATTGTAAAACTACAACTCCCAGGATTCCATAAGACTGAACCATGGTAGTCAAAGTGGTCTCAAACTGTATCAATTCCACAGTGTAGATGCAACCAAAGAAGCCACGCTGTCTTAAGGATTCAGCAATTAATGCAAACCTACCTCGTCCTGGGCTACCTGGGCTGCCCTCGTATCCACCTGGTTGGCCTAGAAAAGAGAAGGAAAGGCAATTTAGAAGGTTTGAAAAGGAAACTTGGTAGTACAGAGATGCTGGGGACACTCTAGGCATGCTCAGAAGAGGAGAAAATGTTCATTTCCCCTTTGCATGCAAGAAGAAAGGAATTCAAAAACTTTATAATACTGTTATATCGGCTGTTAGGAATTGTGGGAGTTGAAGTCCAAAACCCCTGGAGGGCCAAAGTTAGCCCAAGCCTGATGTAGATGCACCTTATAGACCTGTCAGCAGCTTATGATACTGTGAACCACCGCCTCCTCCTGAGAAAAATGTATAATATCACAAAGGACGACCACCTCACCCACCTCATAGGAAACCTGCTACAAAACAGGAGCTTTTTTGTTGAGTTCCAGGGCCAGAGAAGCAGATGGCGGAAACAGAAGAACGGCCTGCCTCAGGGGAGTGTGCTTGCTCCATCCATGTTCAACATCTACACAAATGACCAGCCACTGCCAGAAGGGACAGAGAGTTTCATCTATGCTGATGATCGTGCCATCACCGCTCAAGCAGGGAGCTTTGAGATGGTAGAACAGAAGCTCTCCGAAGCTCTAGGTGCTCTTACCGCCTGTTACAGGGAAAACCAGCTGATCCCTAATCCATCTAAAACACAGACATGTGCCTTTCATCTCAAGAACAGACAAGCATCCCTAGCTCTGAGGATTGCCTGGGAAGGAATCCCACTGGAGCATTGCAACACACCCAAATACCTGGGAGTCACTCTGGACCGTGCTCTGACCTACAAGAAGCACTGCCTGAACATCAAGCAAAAAATGGGCGCTAGAAACAATATCATATGAAAGCTGACTGGCACAACCTGGGGATCACAACCAGACACAGTGAAGACATCTGCCCTTGCGCTGTGCTACTCTGCTGCTGAGTATGCATGCCCAGTGTGGAACACATCTCACCACGCTAAAACAGTGGATGTGGCTCTTAATGAGACATGCCGCATTATCACGGGGTGTCTGCGCCCACACCACTGGAGAAATTACACTGTTTAGCCGGTATTTCACCACCTGACATCCGCCGGGAAGTAGCAGCCAATAGTGAAAGGACCAAGGCAGAGACATCTCCAGCTCATCCCTTGCTTTGGGTATCAGCCAGCACGTCAACGACTTAAATCTAGAAATAGTTTTCTAAGATCTACAGAGACACTCGCTGGAACACTCAGCAAGCGAGAGTCCAAAAGTGGCAGGCTCAAACCCAGAACCTCAATCCATGGCTGATACCAAATGAGAGGCTCCTCCCTGGGCACACAGAAGACTGGGCGACTTGGAAGGCGCTGAACAGACTGCGCTCTGGCACCACGAGATGCAGAGCCAACTCTCAAGAAATGGGGCTACAAAGTGGAATCCACGACATGCGAGTGTGGAGAAGAACAAACCACTGACCACCTGCTGCAATGCAACCTGAGCCCTGCCACATGCACAATGGAGGACATTCTTGCGGCAACACCAGAGGCACTCCAAGTGGCCAGATACTCATCAAGGGACATTTAATCAACTACCAAGTTTGCAAACTTTGTGGGTTTTCTTTGTTTGTTTTATTCTGTTAGAAATGTAATACAGTGGTCTGGTTGCCCCTGACATGATAAATAATAAATAAATAAGTTGCTTTGAGTGCTAAATTGGGGGAGAAACATCTGATTTAAGCCATCTCACCAGCAGCTCTTCTTCTTGCAACCTCCTGGCGATCTCTGCATCGTAAAGCTCCTGGTCCTGAGGATCCGCTGGACGGGGTTTGGAGTAGGAAGCCTCCTTCGTCCCTTTTGCTTTTGTTCCTGCAAAAAAGGAAAGCCAACTCTCTCTTATCCTCAAACAAGACTAAAGTCTTAACGATGGCTTGCTTCATTTAATTATCCAGCCTTTTCCTTTGGAGACGTGGAACCCACAGTTGCACACCACCTTAAAACATGGGTAGAATAAAGTGGCATGGCACTACGGGTGGAACTGTATCTCTGGAACGGCTGCTGAATTTAGGGCAGTTGGGGATTGTGGGAGTTGCCGTCCAAAATAAGGAACTTTACCAAACTTTGGAAACTACTATGGGAAGAATTGTATCTCTGGAACATCTGTGGAATATAGAGCAGTTGGGGTTTGTGGGAGTTGTAGTCCAAAATAAGAACTTTACCAAACTTTGGAAACTACTATGGGAGGAACTGTATCTTTGGAGCAACTGTGGAATATAGGGCAGTTGGGGATTGTGGTAGTTGCAGTCCAAACAAAGAAACTTTACCAAACTCTGGAAACCACTAAGGGAGGAATTGTATCTCTGGAACTTCTGCTGAATATAGGGCAGTTGAGGATTGTGGGAGTTGCAGTCCAAAATAAGGAACTTTACCAAACTTTGGAAACCACTAAGGGAGAAATTGTATCTCTGGAACATCTGTTCAACATAGGGCAGTTGAGGATTGTGGGAGTTACAGTCCAAACAAAGGAACTTTACCAAATTCTGGAAACCACTAAGGGAGGAATCTTATCTCTGGAACATCTGCCAAATATAGGGCAGCTGGAGATTGTGGGGAGTTGCAGTCCAAAATAAAAACTTTACCAAACTTTGGAAACTATCTTGGGATGAATTTTATCTCTGGAACATCTGCTGAATATAGGGCAGTTGGGGATTGTGGGCACTGCAGTCCAACATAAGAACTTTACCAAACTTTGGAAACTATCATGGGAGGAATTTTATCTCTGGATCATCTACTGAATATAGGGCAGTTGTGGATTCTAGGCGCTGCAGTCCAACGTAAGAACTTTATCAAACTTTGGAAACTATCTTGGGAGGAATTGTATCTCTGGAACGTCTGCTGAATATAGGGCAGTTGGGGATTGTGGGTGCTGCAGTCCAACATAAGAACTTTACCAAACTTTGGAAACTATCTTGGGAGGAATTGTATCTTTGGAGCATCTGTGGAATATAGGGCAGTTGGGGATTGTGGGCGCTGCAGTCCAAAATAAGAACTTTACCAAACTTTGGAAATGTCTATGGGAAGAATTGTATCTTTGGAGCATCTGTGGAATATAGGGCATTTGGGGATTGTGGGAGTTGCAGTCCAAAAGAAGAACTTTGTCAAACTTTGGAATTGGAAAGAACTGTATCTGTGGGACATTTGCAGATAGGGATTGTGGGAGTTGCAGTTGAAAAATAAAACTTTCCTAAACTCTGGAAACCACAATGGAAGGAACTGTATCTGTGGAACATTGTTCAGTATCAGGTAGTTTGGAGATTGTGAGAATCTATTCCAAAAAAGAGAGCGAACTTTCCCATGAGTGGGAGTACGGGTGGAATCTGATCTCCTGGAGATCGGATGCGCCTTTTCTGCAAAAGTCATTTTCTCATGGAAAACAAGGGACAGAGAATGACTCACGCCTGGCCAGACGCGCCCCAGGGAGCCAGTTGCGCTGTGGCATCCACAGGAAGTGGGGACGTGGGTCTGTTTTGATAGAGATACTCTCATTATTTGAAGCCTGGCTGTTGTCACAGATAGAAGGAAACGTGGGGTGGGAAAAGAGCTGATGGGAAATGCAGCGGAGACTCCAAATGCCTTGCCTTTAGTGTGAAAAGAGAGGAGAAGAGCTGCGCTTCGTGATTGCAACCCAAGAGGGATGCTTTCTCACAGACATTCAACCCACGACAACCTTTCCAATTTCCATTTTGTGCAAATTCCATTAATTCCCAGCCGAGTGTTTCTCAAGCTGAGGGTTGGGACCCCTGGAAGGGTCAGGAAGAGGGTATCAGAGGGGTCACCAAAAACCATTAGAAAACAATATTCTCTGTGTTTTGTGTGGGAAGTTTGGCCCAATTCCATCATTAGTGGATTTCGGGATGCTCTTTGACTGTAGGTGAACTATAAATCCCAGGTAACTACAACTCGCAAATGACAAGGTCTATTTTCTCCAAACTCTATCTGTATTCATATTTGGGCATATTGATTATTTGTGCCAAGTTTGGTCCAGATCTGTCATTGTTTGAGTCCACAGTGGTCTCTGGATATAGGTGAACTACAACTCCCAAACTCAAGGTCAACGCCCACCAAACCCTTCCAGTGTTTTCTGTTAGTCATGGGAGTTCTCTATGGGAAGTTTGGTTCAATTCCATCATTAGTGCGGTTCGAAATGCTCTGATTGTAGGTGAACTATAAATCCCAGCAACTACAACTCCCAAATGTCAAGATCTATTTCCCCCAAACTCCACCAAAGTTCCCATTTGGGCATATTGGGTATTTGTGCAAAGTTTGGTCCAGATCTATCATCGTTTGAGTCCACAGTGCTCTCTGGATGTAGGTGAACTACAACTCCCAAACTCAAGGTCAACACCCACCAAACCCTTCCAGTGTTTTCTGTTGGTCATGGGAGTTCTGTGTGGGAAGTTTGGTTCAATTCCATCGTTGGTGGAGTTCAGAATGGTTGTAGGTGAACTATAAATTCCAGCAACTACAACTCCCAAATGTCAAGGTCTATTTTCCCCAAACTCAACCAGTGTTTGCATTTGGGTATATTGAGTATTTGTGCCAGGTTTGTGCCAAGTTTGGTCCAGATCCATCATTGTTTGAGTCCGCAGCGCTCTCTGGATGTAGGCGAACTACAACTCCCAAACTCAAGGTCAATGCCAACCATCATGGGAGTTCTGTGTGGGAAGTTTGGTTCAATTCCATCGTTGGTGGAGTTCAGAATGGTTGTAGGTGAACTATAAATTCCAGTAACTACAACTCCCAAATGTCAAGGTCTATGTCCCCCCAAACTCAACCAGTGTTCACATTTGGGTGTTTTGAGTATTTGTGCCAGGTTTGGTCCAGATCCATCATTGTTTGAGTCTACAGTGCTCTCTTGATGTAGGTGAACTACAACTCCACAAATCAAGGTCAATGCCCACCAAACCCTTCCAGTATTTTCTGTTGGTCATGGGAGTTCTGTATTCCAAGTTTGGTTCAATTCCATCATTGGTGGAGTTCAGAATGCTCTTTGATTGTAGGTGGACTCTACAATCAACCAGCAACTACAACTCCCAAATGATGAACTCAATCCTCCCCAAGCCCACCAGTATTCAAATTTGGGCATATTGGGTATTTGTGCCAAATTTGGTCCAGTGAATGAAAATACATCCTGCATATCCGATATTTCCATGACGATTCATAATAGGAAAGAAATGACAGTTGTGAAGTAGCAACAAAAATAATTTTCTGGTTGGGGGTCACCAGAACATGTGGGATTGTATTAAGGGGTTGCGGCATTTGGAACGTTGAGAATCACTGCCCTAGCCTGTCTGGCCAGTGATTATTGTTATTGTGTTTTAGGGAGTTGATACCTGTTTGGGTATCAGCCAGCACGTCAACGACTTAAATCAAGAAATAGTTTTCTTAGATCTACAGAGACACTCAGCAAGCGAGAGTCCAAAAGTGGCAGGCTCAAACCTCAACCGATGGCTGATACCAAATGAGAGACTCCCCCCTGGACACACAGAAGACTGGGCAACTTGGAAGGCGCTGAACAGACTGAGCTCTGGCACCACGAGATGCAGAACCAACCTCAAGAAATGGGGCCACCAAGGTGAGTCCACGACATGTGAGTGTGGAGAAGAGCAAACTACAGACCACCTGCTGCAATGCAACCTGAGCCCTGCCACATGCACAAGGGAGGACTTCCTTGCAGCAACACCAGAGGCACTCCAAGGGGCCAGATACTGGTCAAAGGACATTTAATCAACTACCAAGCTTGCAATCTTTGTGTTTTGTTTGTTTGTTTGTTGAAAAATGCAATACAACTGCTTGTGTGCTGGTATGGCTGTACCAAAAGCTCCAACTTCCTTTTCTTTCTTTGAGTGTTTGCATGTATTCCAAAGTTCCATGCATTTTGCAATAAGGTGGCTCCCCTTGGTTTGCAATCATAGGGCCTATGACCCATCAATCATTAAGTTTTGGTTCCACCCCTTTCCCCAGGGTTCTGGGAGGAGAGGGAGCCATTTTATGTCAGTCTTGAACTGAAAAACTTAACTACAGGATGTGGATTAGCTCCACCTGCAGAGAAGCTTCGTTTCTCACAGCATCCGGGGAAAACAGTTCCAAAGGACTCCAGCTGGAGAATCTATTCTACAAAGACTTGACTGGTAGGTCTACTCAGGACCCAAGAAGCAGTTTGGAGCCAGGAGTAGAGTCCACACCATAGAATCATAGAATCCAAGAGTTGGAAGAGACCTCCTGGGCCATCCCGTCCAACCCCATTCTGCCAAGAATCAGGAATATTGCATTCAAATCACCCCTGACAGATGGCCATCCAGCCTCTGTTTAAAAGCTTCCAAAGAAGGAGCCTCCACCACACTCCGGGGCAGAGAGTTCCACTGTTGAACGGCTCTCACAGTCAGGAAGTTCTTCCTCATTTTCAGATGGAATCTCCTCTCTTGTAGTTTGAAGCCGTTGTTCCATTGCGTCCTAGTCTCCAAGGAAGCAGAAAACAAGCTTGCTCCCTCCTCCCTGTGGCTTCCTTTCACATATTTATACATGGCTATCATGTCTCCTCCCAGCCTTCTCTTCTTCAGGCTAAACATGCCCAGCTCCTTAAGCCGCTCCTCATAGGGCTTGTTCTCCAGACCCTTGATCATTTTAGTCGCCCTCTTTTGGACACATTCCAGCTTGTCAAGATCTCTCTTGAATTGTGGTGCCCAGAATTGGACACAATATTCCAGGTGTGGTCTAACCCCTTCATACAGTTCCTCACGTTGTGTTGACCCCCAACCATAACGTTATTTTCGTTGCTACTTCTTTAATTTTGCTCCTGTTATGAATCACAATATAAATATCTGATATGCAGGGTGTATTTTCATTCACTGGACCAAATTTGGCACAAATACCCGATACACCCAAATCTGAATGCTGGTGGGGTTGGAGGGGATTGATTTTGTCATTTGGGAATGCTGGAGTTGCTGGGATTTATAGTTCACCTAAAACCAAAGAGCCTTTTGAACTCCACCAATGATGGAATTCAATCAAACTTGGCACATAGAATTCCCATGGCCAAGAGAAATACTGGGAGAGTCTGGCGGACACTGACCTTGAGTTTTTGGAGTTGTAGTTCACCTCAATCCAGAGAACACTGTGGACTCAAACAGTGTCAAACTTGGCACAGATAATCAATATGCCCAAATGTGAACACTGGTAGAGTTTGGAGAAAATAGACCTTGCCATTTGGGAGTTGTAGTTGTTGGGATTTATAGTTCACCCACAATGAAATAGCATTCTGAACCCCACCAATGATAGAACTGGACCAAACTTCCCACACAGAACACCCATGACAAAGAGAACATACTATGTTTTCTGATGGTCTTTGGTGACCCCTCTGACACCCCCTCATGACCCCCACAGGGGTCCCGACCCCCAAGTTGAGAAACACTGCTCTATAGGAAAATCCTTAGGGCCTCTCACTCGAGGCACCCCAACTTCCCGCTGGGCACAAAGAGCACGTCCTGTTCAAAAGCAGGCCCAGCGTGTGACAGCACAGCTTAGTTCACTCCTGACACGATAAATATATAAATAGGAAGTTGCATTACATAAAATGAACTTTTCCACAATGATTATTGTGAAGAGATTTGTCCTGAGAAGCTACAAAGGCTTGTTCTATGACCGCCATGGCATTGGGGGTTCCTGCAAGTGCAATATTTTGCAATGGAGGCAGTAAGCTATCCTTTCCTTCCTCTTTCTCCAGGTACACAAGTGCCTTTGTTTGGCCCTCGCAGCTGGAGCGAAGGAGCTAAAAGCGGAAAGCCCCAGGACAGCCGGCTCCGGCGGTAGCGATCAATCCGCTCTTGTTTGGCTCATGGCTTCTTCCCAACACAGGCGGAATAGTTTCAATAGGGACGGAATTAGACACTGATGTTTCCCACCCTCCCATCTGATTTCCATTTCAAGCATATTCCTCCTTTAGATTCATTCATTCATTTCCTCTCTGACTTATTTTGATGGAAGAGTCTCATTCCATTGAGTTTCAAAGAGATCTATTATTACTCTACAAAACACGATTTTGGTTCCTGGGTTGTAGATGCCATTTCCTAATTGGTTCTATCACAAAAACATGGGGAACGTTGACTCAAAACTGCAAAAACTTTGGTTTTAGGGGAAGGACTTTTGCTGAACATCAAGCAAAAAGTGGGCGCTAGAAACAACATCATACCAAAGCAGACTGATTCCATCTGAACATGAGGAAGAATTTCCTGACTGCGAGAGCCGTTCAGCAGTGGAACTCTCTGCCCCAGTGTGGTGGAGGCTCTTTCTTTGGATGTTTTTAAACAGAGGCTGGATGGCCATCTGTCAGGGGTGATTTGAATGCAATATTCCTGCTTCTTGGCAGAATGGGGTTGGACTGGATGGCCCATGAGGTCTCTTCCAACTCTTCGATTCTATGATTCTATGACTGGCACAACCTGGGGATCACAACCAGACACAGTGAAGGCATCTGCCCTTGCGCTATGCTACTCTGCTGCTGAGTACGCATGCCCAGTGTGGAACAGACTGCCTGAACATCAAGCAAAAAATGGGTGCTAGAAACAATATCATATGAAAGCTGACTGGCACAACCTGGGGATCACAACCAGACACAGTGAAGGCATCTGCCCTTGCGCTATGCTACTCTGCTGCTGAGTACGCATGCCCAGTGTGGAACAGACTGCCTGAACATCAAGCAAAAAATGGGTGCTAGAAACAATATCATACGAAAGCTGACTGGCACAACCTGGGGATCACAACCAGACACAGTGAAGGCATCTGCCCTTGCGCTATGCTACTCTGCTGCTGAGTATGCATGCCCAGTGTGGAACACATCTCACCACACTAAAACAGTAGATGTGGCTCTTAATGAGACATGACACATTACCATGGGGTATCTGTGCCCTACACCGCTGGAGAAATTACACTGTTTAGCCGGTATTGCACCACCTGACATGCGCCGGGAAGTAGCAGCCAATAGTGAAAGGACCAAGGCAGTGATATCTCTGTTTGGGTATCAGCCAGCACGCCAATGACTTAAATCAAGAAATAGTTTTCTAAGATCTACAGAGACACTTGCTGGAACACCTCAGCAAGCGAGAGTCCAAAAGTGGCAGGCTGAAACCCAGAACCTCAATCCATGGCTGATATCAAATGAGAGACTCCTCCCTATCTCATGCCATCCAACTATCCAACTAACCGCCATTCTGACACACAGCCGATAGTTGCATGGTATGAGATAGGACAGTGGTCCTCAACCTGGGGTCCCCAGATGTTTTTGGCCTACAACTCCCAGAAATCCCAGCTAGTTTACCAGCTGTTAGGATTTCTGGGAGTTGAAGGCCAAAAACATCTGGAGACCCCAGGTTGAGGACCACTGAGATAGGAGTTCATGACAAACCAGCAACAGAGGTGCTCACCCAACGTTTCCTCATTACCTGTGCCCAGGTCCCAGTTTTCCCCGTGATGCGAGGAAGAGGAATGGGCTCTCCCTCTGTCCTTGGATGCTTCGTTTCCCTGTCCAGCATTCTTCTTTCGGCTTTGATGTGGAGAGACCTCCAAGTCATTGTGGCGGGGGTCCCGGCCCCTTGGAGGATGCCCCGCTTCGTGGGATGGGACCATGTAATGGTTAGGATTTGGTGACCTGCTATAATGTTGGCGTGGGAAGCCAACATCCAAACCTGGAGACTGCCTTTCCCGACGTCTATGGCGCCCGAGATCTGGACTCGCTTCTTGGTCCATAAGGAGAGAAGGAGGTCTTTGAGGTCTTTCATGGCTCCTGTGTGGACGCTCCCGATGGTCCCTGCTATCTCCATCCAGTGAAGATGCCGCCCGAGGTCTCTCCAAACTGTCCGGGTTCTTCTTCCTCCTCCTCTCCTTGCTTTGGCCAAGGCTGACCTCGTCCTCCGCTTCCCAAGGAGGCACTGGGTGTTTCTCAGGCTTCCGCTCTCTCTGCCGTGTCCGGCTTCGGCTGCTCTTCCCTCCTTCGGATCCCTCCGAAACCTCCAGGTCGAGCCCCTCCGGAAGGAGAGGAGGGCCCCTCCAGGGGTCTGGGTTGCCCTCGCGGGGCCGGCGAGATCTGGACTGCTCGGGCGCCACATCTCGAGGGCTGGCGCACCTTCGGTCTGGTCGACAAGTAGGACGGACAGAGAACAGAGTGGGGTTAGTGACACGTGTTAATGGCAGGCGCAGAAATGGACATGGAAACTCAAAGGAACGTCCAGAGAGAACGTGGAGGAAGCGGAGAGCAAAATCAATTGCGTAAAGCAGGCATGGGATGCAGTCCTCAGGTCCTCCTCTCTCTCACCATCCTATCCTATCCTTCCTTCCTTCCTTCCTTCCTTCCTTCCTTCCTTCCTTCCTTCCTTCCTTCCTTCTTTTTCTCCTCCCTCCCTCCTTTCTTCCCTTCCTCTCTTTCCTTCTTTCACTTTCTTTCCTTCACACCTCTTATATCTTTTCCTCTTTCCTTTCTCAACTTTTCTCTTCCTTCCTTTGTCTTTCTTTTCCCCCTCCTTCCTTCTGCCTTTCTTTTCCTTTTTTCTCCTTCCTTCTTTCTCTCTTTCCTTCCTCCTTCCTGCCCTTTCTCCTTCGCTTCTACCTTTTCATTCTTCCTTCCCTCCTCTTTTCTTCCTCCTTCCCTCCCTCTAATCCTCATCTCCCTCTTTTTCCATCTCTTCTTTCTTCCCATCCTCCCTTTCTTCGTTTCTTCCCTCTCTCCTTCCTTCCTTCCCTTTTGTCAGAGAACAGAGCGGGGTTAGTGACACGTGTTAATGGCAGGCACAGAAATGGACATGGAAACTCAAAGGGACATCCAGAGAGAACTTGGAGGAAGTGGAGAGCAAAATCAATTGCGTAAAGCAGGCATGGGATGCAGTCCTCAGGTCCTCTTCTCTCTCACTATCCTATCCTATCCTATCCTTTCCTTCCTTCCTTCCTTCCTTCCTTCCTTCCTTCCTTCCTTCCTTCCTTCCTTCCTTCCTTCCTTCTCTGACATCGTATGAGATCAAGGGTCTGGAGAACAAGCCCTATGAGGAGCGGCTTAGGGAACTGGGCATGTTTAGCCTGAGGAAGAGAAGGCTGAGAGGAGATATGATAGCCATGTATATATGTGAGAGGAAGCCACAGGGAGGAGGGAGCAGATCAAGGGTCTGAAGAACAAGCCCTATGAGGAGCGGCTTAAGGAGCTGGGCATGTTTAGCCTGAAGAAGAGAAGGCTGAGAGGAGATATGATAGCCATGTATAAATATGTGAGAGGAAGCCACAGGGAGGAGGGAGCAGATCAAGGGTCTGAAGAACAAGCCCTATGAGGAGCGGCTTAAGGAGCTGGGCATGGTTAGCCTGGAGAAGGCTGAGAGGAGATATGATAGCCATGTATAAATATGTGAGAGGAAGCCACAGGGAGGAGGGAGCAGATCAAGGGTCTGGAGAACAAGCCCTATGAGGAGCGGCTTAGGGAACTGGGCATGTTTAGCCTGAAGAAGAGAAGGCTGAGAGGAGATATGATAGCCATGTATAAATATGTGAGAGGAAGCCACGGGGAGGAGGAGGGAGCAAGCTTCCTTTCTGCTTCCCTGGAGACTAGGACGCAATGGAGGAATGGCTTCAAACTACAAGAGAGGAGATTCCATCTGAACATGAGGAAGAACTTCCTGACTGTGAGAGCCGTTCAGCAGTGGAACTCTCTGCCCCGGAGTGTGGTGGAGGCTCCTTCTTTGGAAGTTTTAAAACAGAGGCTGGATGGCCATCTGTCAGGGGTGATTTGAATGCAATATTCCTGCTTCTTGGCAGAATGGGGTTGGACTGGATGGCCCATGAGGTCTCTTCCAACTCTTTGATTCTATGATTCTTATGCTGGACATCGCTGGGTTCATTAGTTAGTGTCCTAATAAAATTCTACTAGTGCTTTTTAGTTTAAATTTGTCTGAATCCTGATAAAGAGTCAAAGAGTGACCTATAGTAAAGATCTTACCACAGATCACACTTACCATAACAAGTCCATTCGTGATCCTGCCTTCATGTCTCGTGTACAGTGCAGGATGTTCTATTTCCAGTCCGTATCTCTTGTCTTCTTCAATTCCCTTCGTTCTCTTGGCACTTAAGTTAAATGATTTGCTCCTTCCCTTTTGTCTTTCCTTCCTTCTCTCATCTTCCCTTCCTCCCTTCCCTCTCTCTTTCTTCCTCCTTTCCCTTCCACACTTTCACCTTCCTTCCTTCCATCCATCCTTCCACCGTTTTGTCCTCCCCCCCCTTTGGTTTTTCCTTCCTCCTTACTTCCCTCCCTTCCCTCCCTTTCTCCTTCCATATGGGATGCAGTCCTCAGGTCCTCCTCTCTTTCACCATCCTATCCTTCCTCCTTCCTGCCCTTTCTCCTTCGCTTCTACCTTTTCATTCTTCCTTCCCTCCTCTCTTTTCCTCCTCCTTCCCTCCCTCCATTCCTCACCTCCCTCTTTTTCCATCTCTTCTTTCTTCCCTTCCACCCTTTCTTCGTTTCTTCCCTCTCTCCTTCCTTCTCCTTCCTTCCCTTTTGTCTTTCCTTCTTCCTATCTTCCCTTCCTCTCCCTTTCCTCTTTCTTCCTCCTTCCATTCCCTTCCACCCTTTCATCCTTCCTCCTTTTCTTCTTTCCTTCCCCTTTCCTCCCTCCTTCTTCCCTCTTTCTCATTCCATCCTTCCTTTCCCTCTCTTCCTCCCTCCTTTCCTCTTCTTTCTCCTTCCATCCTTCTCTCCACCCTTTTGTCCTTCCGTCCCTTTTGTCTTTCCTTCCTCCTTACCTCCCTTCCTTTCCTCCCTCTTTCTCCTTCCATCCTTCTCCTTCCCTTCCTTTCTCATTACCTCCTTCCCTTTCCTACCTTTCTCCTTCCATCCTTTTGTCCTTCCTTCCCTCTTTTCTCCCTCTCTCTTTCTCCTTCCTTCCCTTTTGTCTTTCCTTCCTTCCTTCTATCTTCCCTTCCTCCCTTCTGTCTCTCTTTCTTCCTCCTTCCGTTCTATTCCACCTTTTTGCCTTCCTTCCTTCTATCCATCCATCCTTCTCTTCCACCCTTTAGTCCTCCCTCCCTTTTCTCTTTCCTTCCTCCTTACCTCCCTCCCTTTCTCCTTCTATCCTTCCCTTCCATCGTTTTGTCCTTCCTTCTCTTTTCTCCCTCTCCCTCTTTCTCTTTCCTTCCTTCCCTTTTGTCTTTCCTTCCTTCTCTCTATCTTCCCTTCCTCCCTTCCCTCTCTTTCTTCCTCCTTCCACCCTTTCGTCCTTCCTTCCTTCCATCCATCCTTCTCTTCTACCCTTTCGTCCTTCCTTCCCTATTCTCTTTCCTTCCCTCATTCCTTCCTCCTTACCTCCTTCCCTTTCCCCCCTCTTTCACCTTCCATCTTCCTTCCACCCTTTTGTCCTCCTTCTCTTCCCCCTCTCTCCTTTCTCCTTCCTTCCTTCCTTCCTTCCTTCCTTCCTTTTGTTTTTCCTTCCTTCTCTTTCCTTTTCTCTTCCTCCTTCCTTCCATCCATCCTTTCTCTTCCTCCCTTTTTTCCTTCTTTCTCTTTTTCTTTCTCCTTCCCTCCTTCTTTTCATCTTCTCTTCCACCCTTTCATCGTTCCTTCCCTTTGTCTTTCCCTCCCTCTCTCCCTCTTCTCTTTCTCCTTCCTTCCTCCTTTCTCCTTCCTCTTCCATCTCCCTTCCCTTCCATCCTTTTCCTTCCCTTCTTTTGTCTTTCCTTCTTCTCTTCTTCCTTCCTTCTCCCTCCTTTCTCCCCTCTTTTTCCTTCCATCCTTCCCTTCCACCCTTTTGTTTTTCCTCCCTCTTTCTCCCTCTCTCCCTCTTTCTCCTTCCTCCTTCTTCCCTTTTGCCTTTCCTTCCTTTTCTTTCCTTTCTCTTTCCTCCCTTTTCCTTCCTTCCCTTTTGTCCTCCTTTCCTTCCTCTTTCTCTTCTTTCCCTCTCTCCTCCTTCTCCTTCCATCCTTCCCTTCCACCCTTCGTCCTTCCTTCCTTCCTCCTCTTCCTTTCCACCCTTTCATCCTCCCTTTTGTCTTTTCTTCCTTCTCTCATTCCTTCCTCCTTATCTCCCTCCCTTTCTCCCTCTTTCTCCTTCCAGCCTTCCCTTCCATCCTTTTGTCCTCCCTTCTCTCTTTTCTCCCTCTCTCCCTCTTTCTCCTTCCTTCCTTCCTTCCCTTTTGTCTTTCCTTCCCTCTTTCTCCTCCTAATCTTCCCTTCCTCCCTTTTGTCTTTCTTTCCTTCCTTCCCTTCATTCTTTCCTTCCATCCCTCCATCACAGGGAAGCCAGTCATCCATGTAGGGAGTGCTACCATGCAGCCCCCAAAGCATTCCAGAAGATGGGAAAGGAAACCAAACAGCACAGAATGGTACCGGAGAGATAGGTCGTCGAATCAATGCGTCTTGACCCCACTTTAATTGTGAGAAGCCGAAGAAAAGTCAGAGGAGACCTTCACCCAACGGCAGGAGAGACAGAGAGAGCGTTTGTGAGGGTAAAGAGGAAGAAAGCAGACCACCACCAACAAGCAGATCCTCAATTCTGCACCCCTGAAATCCTCAGGATTATAGTTCGTTCGATCACGAACGCATCTTGGATCAAAAGAGAATTCCAGATGTTGCTCAGCTTCTTGCAGATTCCAACGGGAACAATTTTGCTCGATGATGATTTTCATGGTAGTTCAGTAAGAATCACGTCCAGCATGGACCAGATTTTGCATTTCCATTATGATTGTTCGTAAGCAATGATTCGGTTCCTTTGGCACCACCACCAATAATCTCCAGGGCTTTTCCAGAAAAGGGGAATCACCAGGAATCAAGACAAAAGGGCACACACCAAACTTGCAACGTCACAAATGGCAACCTCTCACTGCAATGCATCAACCTCTGCTTGTAATCCCATCTCCCGCCCCAAATATTTCACAGATTAAAGCCAGGACCCATGCGGACAAGCGGTATCAAAGGTAACAAAATCAAGAAGTCATGAATGAGGAAGAACAGGCAACGCAGCAGTTTGCTTTTGCCTTTCCTTTACCCTTCTCCCTGCTGATTTAATGGAGCACAAAACAGTTTTGCATTCTGAACCCAGTTTGCAGCAACTGAAGTCAGCTGAGGACAAAGGAGGAAGAGGAGGAGAAGAGGGAAATTGGGACATTTTAAAAGTGGGATGGAAAAGCGCTCGTCCTATTGAACCAGACAGCCCAGGAAGCATACCAAGGCTCACCCACCTCCATTCAGATGAAAACGAGTCATGGCCTTGTTCCAAATTAAGGCTTTGATTTAGGGTGCATCCATACTGTGGAATCCATGTAGTCCGACACCACTTTATCTACCATGGCTCACTACTCACCCTGTCTCATGGATTCGAACCACTGACCTTTAGGTCAGCAGTTCAACCGGCACTGGGATGGCCATCTGTTGGGAGAGCTTTAGTTGTCAAATGATTTCTTTAAAAAAATTGTGTCAGGAATGACTTGAGAAACTGCAAGTTGCGTCTGGTGTGAGAGAATTGGCTGCCTGCAAGGGTGTTGCGCAGGGGACGCACGGATGTGTTACCATCCTGTGGGAGACTTCTCTCATGTCCCTGCATGGGAAGCTGGAGCTGACAGATGGGAGCTCACCCTGTCTCATGGATTCGAACCACTGGCCTTTAGGTCAGCAGTTCAGCCGGCATAGGGATGGCCATCTGTTGGGAGATCTTTAGTTGTGTATTTCTGGATGGTGAGATGGGGATGCACAGATGTGTTACCATCCTGAGGGAGACTTCTCTCATGACCCTGCATGGGAAGCTGGAGCTGACACACGGGAGCTCACCCTGTCTCATGGATTCGAACCACTGACCTTTAGGTCAGCAGTTCAGCCGGCACAGGGATGGCCATCTGTTGGGAGATCTTTAGTTGTGTATTTCTGCATGGTGAGATGATTTTTTTTAAAAAAAAATGTGTCAGGAGTGACTTGAGAAACTGTAAGTTGAGTCTGGTGTGAGAGAATTGGCAGTCTGCAAGGACATTGCCCAGGGAATACACGGATGTGTTACCATCCTGTGGGAGACTTCTCTCATGTCCCTGCATGGGAAGCTGGAGCTGACAGACGGGAGCTCACCCCGTCTCATGGATCCGAACCACTGATCTTTAGGTCAGCAGTTCAGCTGGCACAGGGATGGCCATCTGTTGGGAGATCTTTAGTTGTGTATTTCTGCATGGTGAGATGGGGACACACGGATGTGTTACCATCCTGAGGGAGGCTTCTCTCATGTCCCTGCATGGGAAGCTGGAGCTGACAGACGGGAGCTCCCCCCATCTCATGGATTCGAACCACTGACCTTTAGGTTAGCAGTTCAGCCAGCACAGGGATGGCCATCAGTTGGGAGATCTTTAGTTGTGTATTTCTGCATGGTGAGATGGGGACGCACGGATGTGTTACCATCCTGTGGGAGGCTTCTCTCACGTCTGGAGCTGACAGATGGAAGCTCACCCTATTTCATGGATTCGTATCGCTGACCTTCAGGTCAGCAGTTCAGCCGGCACAAGGGTTTAACCCATTGTACTGGCTGAACTGGATGACTCCTGGGGACCCTTCCAACATTCCTGCCACTAAACAGCTCCTGAAACTCTCTCCAGATTTCAAAAGGTGTCCAGATCAATCGCTGAGAAGATTGCCATTCACATTTCTCCTTCTCTTCCTCTTCTTCTCCAGGACCATGGAGAAGACCTTCTGGAGGGGCGTTTGGACTCGCAACCCCAAACCAGAGCTGGTTCAGGTGGGCCAGCTGGTGGTTCCTACCTCTGTTTTCTGGATAGTAGGCCTCTTTGTAAGGACTGGCCGAGACGGGTTCCGGCGGGAGAGGCTTCTTCCTCCTCTTCTCTTCCTGAAGCTCCTTCTGTTGCAGGATCCGAGCAATGTCCTACAGGAGAAAGAGAGAGGCTTTCTGCTACGCCAAGAGAAGAGGTGCAAATGCAAGTGGGTGAGATACGAGGCCAACTTCCAGCCCCAAGGTTGTCCAGAAACCCACCAAAGCTCAAAAATGACGACACTGAATTATGAAACTGGAACCACCTGAGAAGGACAATTGCCCTCATCATCTCCAAAGCCACCCACGACCTAAGCTTCAGGAGGAATCTTCAGTGAGCTTTAGAATCAGAAGAGTTGGAACGGTCCCCCAAAGGCCATCTAGTCCACCCCCCTTCTGTTGGCAAGGAAGGCATGGTCCAAACCCTCTCGATAGATGGCCATTCAGTTTTAAATACTTTTTTGAGGGGTCTTTCTTTCTTTGGAGGTCTATAAGCATATCTTGGAGGTCTATAAGCAGTCCCCTGTGGTGCAGCAGGTTAGAACGGTCCCCCAAAGACCATCTAGTCCAACCCCCTTCTGTTGGCAAGGAAGGTATGGTCCAAACCCTCTCGATAGATGGCCATTCAGTTTTAAATACTTTTTTTGAGGGGTCTTTCTTTCTTTGGAGGTCTACAAACTTGTCTTGGAGGTCTATAAGGAGCCCTCTGTGGTGCAGCAGGTTAAAGCGCTGAGCTGCTGAACTTGCTGACCAAAAGGTCACAGGTTCGAATCCGGGGAGTGGGGTGAGCTCCCGCTGTTAGCACCAGCTTCTGCCAACCTAGCAGTTTGAAAACAGTGAGCCTTAGAATCATACGAGTTGGAATGGTCCCCCAAAGGCCATCTAGTCCAACTCCATTCTGTTGGCAAGGAAGGCATGGTCCAAACCCTCTCAATAGATGGCCATTCAGTTTTAAATACTTTTTTAGGGGGTCTTTCTTTCTTTGGAGGTCTATAAGCATGTCTTGGAGGTTTATAAGGAGCCCTCAATGGCACAGCAGGTTAAAGCGCTGAGCTGCAGAACTTGCTGACCAAAAGGTCACCGGTTCGAATCCAGGGAGTGGGGTGAGCTCCCACTGTTAGCACCAGCTTCTGCCAACCTAACAGTTTGAAAACAGTGAGCCTTAGAATCATACGAGTTGGAACGGCCCCCCAAAGGCCATCTAGTCCAACCCCCTTCTGTTGGCAAGGAAGGCATGGTCCAAACCCTCTCGACAGATGACCATTCCTACTTCTTGGCAGGGGGTTGGACTGGATGGCCCATGAGGTCTCTTCCAACTCTTTGATTCTATGATTCTATTATTCTAGTCCAACCCCCTTCTGTTGGCAAGGAAGGCATGGTCCAAACCCTCTCGATAGATGGCCATTCAGTTTTAAATACTTTTTTGGAGGGGTCTTTCTTTCTTTGGAGGCCTATAACCATGTCTTGGAGGTCTATAAGGAGCCCTCAATGGCGCAGCAGGTTAAAGCGCTGAGCTGCAGAACTTGCTGACCAAAAGGTCACAGGTTCAAATCCGGGGAGCAGGGTGAGCTCCCGCTGTTAGCACCAGCTTCTGCCAACCTAGCAGTTTGAAAACATGCAAATGTGAGTAGATCAATAAGTACTGCTCAGGCAGGAAGGTAACAGCGCTCCATGAAGTCATGCTGGCCACATGACCTTGGAGGTGTCTACGGACAACGCTGGCTCTTTGGCTTAGCTATGGAGCGGCGTGAGCTCCTGCTGTTAGCTCTAGCTTCTACCAACCTAGCATTTCGAAAACATGCAAATGTGAGTTGATCAATAGGTACCGCTCCGGCGGGAAGATAACAGCACTCCATGCAGTCATTCTGGCCACATGACCTTCGAGGTATCTGTGGACAACGCCGGCTCTTCGGCTTAGATATGGAGCGGCATGACCTCCTGCTGTTAGCTCTAGCTTCTGCCAACCTAGCAGTTCGCAAACATGCAAATGTGAGCAGATCAATAGGTACCGCTCCAGCGGGAAGGTAACAGCACTCCATGTAGTCATTCTGGCCACATGACCTTCAAGGTATCTGTGGACAACGCTGGCTCTTCGGCTTAGATATGGAGCGGCATGATCTCCTGCTGTTAGCTCTAGCTTCTGCCAGCCTAGCATTTCGAAAACATGCAAATGTGAGCAGATTAATAGATACCACTCCGGCGGGAAGGTAACAGTGCTCCATGAAGTCATGCTGGCCACATGACCTTCGAGATGTCTGTGGACAACCCTGGCTCTTTGGCTTAGATATGGAGTGGTGTGAGCTCCTGCTTGTTAGCTCTAGCTTCTGCCAACCTAGTATTTTGAAAACATGCAAATGTGAGTAGATCAATAGGTACCGCCCCGGTGAGAAGGTAACAGCGCTCCATGCAGTGATGCTGGCATGACCTTGGAGGTGTCTGTGGACAACGCTGGCTCTTTGGCTTAGATATGGAGTGGGGGTGAGCTCCTGTTAGCTCTAGCTTCTGCCAACCTAGCAGTTCGAAAACATGCAAATGTGAGTAGATCAATAAGTAAGTACTGCTCAGGCAGGAAGGTAGCAGCGCTCCATGAAGTCATGCTGGCCACATGACCTTGGAGGTGTCTACGGACAATGCTGGCTCTTTGGCTTAGATGTGGAGCGGCGTGAGCTCCTGCTGTTAGCTCTAGCTTCTGCCAACCTAGCAGTTCGAAAACATGCAAATGTGAGCAGATCAATAGATACCACTCTGGTGGGAAGGTAACAGCACTCCATGCAGTCATGCTGGCCACATGACCTTGGAGGTGTCTACGGACAACGCTGGCTCTTTGGTTTAGAAATGGAGATGAACACCAATTTCCAGAGTCGGACACAACTGGACTTAATGTCTGGGGAAAATCTAAGCATGTTGAATCTTTTTGACAATCCTGCATGCCAAGGGGTTTGGATTCGATAACCTTTGTGGCTGTTCCCAATCCTATGATTCTATTGCCAGATTTCCTCCAAATATCTTAACTCTACTTCTTTGCAGCCTGATTCCAATGGTACGTCAATAGTATGGAATGCATACAGCCTGACACAACTTTGACAGCCATAGCTCAATGTGATAGAACCCTTGGAAATGTTGTTTGCACTCTTGGGCACATTTTGCAAAACTACAGCGACCAGGACCCAATAGCACTGAGCCATGGCTGTTAACGGGGTGTCCAACCGCACTCATTCTGCAGTGTAGATGCAGCCCTAGAGTCTCCAAGGTCCAGTTCAATCCATGCCTTGGGGCGACGTTTGCCAACCAGATGGTGCAGGAACCCTCCCAGATGCTGTCCAATGCTCCTGTCTGGACATCAAAGTCCCAAGACTCCTGTTTCTCATTTGCACAAGACAACACTGCATTCCTCAAAATATCCAAAACAACAAAAGCACCCAAACATCAGCCCACGGCTCCCAGGTTCATCACATACCTCGTCGTCCTCTTCCTGCCGGCGCCGCTGTTCCGCTTCGATGACCAGCTTGACTTGGATTTCCTGAGCGATCTCACAGTCCTGGCGCTCTCTGCAAAACAGAAGGCAGGGAGGTGACAGGAGCAGGGAGAGCTGCTGGTTGCAGAGTCTGGGGCATCTACACTGCAGAATTAATGCAGTTTGACTCCACTATGAACTGAAAACATCATCATTATTATTATTATTATTATTATTATTAGCTGTACCCGCCACACGTTGCTGTGGCCAACCTTCCCTCCCCTTTTCTCTTCTTTCTTTCTTTCTTTCTTTCTTTCTTTCTTTCTCTCCTTCCTTCCCTCCCTCTTTCTCTCTTTTGTTGCTTCTCTCCTTCCTTCCCTCTTTCATTTTTTTTATTTCCTTCTCTACCTTTCTTTCCTCTTTCCTTCCCTCCTTCTCCTCTTTCTCTCCCTCCTTCTATCCATCCATCATTCTCTACCTTTCTTTCTTTCTTTCCTTCTTTCTTTCCTTCCTTCTCTCCTTCCCTCCTTCTCTACTTCCCTCCTTCCTCCTTCATTCTCTACCCTTCTTTCTTTCCTTCCTTCTCTCCTTCCCTCCTTCTCTCCCCCTTCCTTCTCTACCCTTCTTTCTTTCCTTCCTTCCTACTCTCCTTCCCTCCTTCATTCTCTACCCTTCTTTCTTTCCTTTCTTCCCTCCTTCCCTCCCTCCTTCATCCTCTACCCTGCTTTCTTTCCTTCCTTCTCTCCTTTCCTCCCTCTTTCTCTACCTCCTTCATTCTCTACCCTTTCTTTCCTTCCTTCCCTCTTTTCCCTCTTTCTCTCCCTCCTTCATTCTCTACCCTTTCTTTCCTTCCTTCCCTCTTTTCCCTCTTTCTCTCCCTCCTTCATTCTCTACCCTTTCTTTCCTTCCTTCCCTCCTTTCCCTCTTTCTCTCCCTCCTTCATTCTCTACCTTTCTTTCTTTCTTTCTTTCTTTCTTTCTTTCTTTCTTTCTTTCTTTCCTTCTCTCCCTCTCTCTCCTTCCTTCCTTCCCCCTTTCTGTGTATGTGTTTTGTGTGTATATATGCATATATATGCATATATGTATGTGTCTATGTATATATATGTGGTTTTGTGCATGCATTGTAATATTTTTTTTGGGGGGGGGTTGGTTTTTAAGTCCCTTCTGCTGTGTTTTTTGGTGTTTTTATGAGTGATCTTCACTTGTTGGCCTGAGAGGTGTCTTGTGTCCAAATTTGGTGTCAATTCGTCCAGTGGTTTTTGTTAATCCCACAAACGAACATTACATTTTTATTTATATAGACTAGCTGTCCCCTGCCACACGTTGCTGTGGCCCACATGGGGATTCCGTGTGGGAGGTTTGACCCAATTCTATCGTTGGTGGGGTTCAGAATGCTCTGTGATTGTAAGTGAACTAGAAATCCCAGCAACTACAACTCCCAAATGTCAAGATTCTATTTTCCTCAAACTACACCAGTGTTCACATTTGGGCATATTGAGTATTCATGTAGATTTTGGTCCAGATCCATCATTGTTTGAGTCCACAGTGATCTCTGGATGTAGGTGAACTACAACTCCAAAACCAAAGGACACTGCCCACCAAACCCTTCCAGTATTTTCTGTTGGTCATGGTGGTCCTGTGTGCCAAGTTTGATTCAATTACATCATTGGTTGAGTTCAGAGTACTCTTTGATTGTAGGTGAACTATAAATCCCAGCAACTACAACTCCCAAATGACAAAATCAATTTTTTGAGTGAAGGGCATACATTGGGCTGTTAGGTGTCTTGTATCCAAATTTGGTGTCAATTCGTCCAGTGGTTTATGAGTTATGTTAATCCAACAAACGAACATTACATTTTTATTTATATAGATGATGGTTGTTGTTGTTATTATTATTATTATTATTATTATATTGCTCTATATTATTTTGCAGTGCATCTTTCACATCCGTGTTGATAAGTTGGGTGGTTTGCTTTTTGTGTCGTTATTTTTATCTTCAGAGTTTTGTGCAGGAGTCCGGAAACACAACCAGGAAATGAAGCTTGCCCCAGGAAACAAGGAAGTCCCTTTGTCGCATTCTGTAAAATGGCCTAAGCTTTTGAGATCCTTTTCTTTAGAGACTCTGGGTGCAGAACCAATGCAGTTTGGCACCACTTTAGCTGCCAAACTGGGAGCTGTAGTTTTACAAGGTCTCCAGCCTTCTCTGCCAAAAGATACCGATGACTCACCAAATGACAAACCCCAGGATCCCATAGCATGGCGCCATAGCAGTAAAAGTGGGGTCAAACTGTATTAAATCTACAGTGTAGATGCTCACTGTGCCTCTTCACTTGTCTTTTAAAAAGCCTGTCTGCTTTGTTTTTAATCACAGTGATATCTATTTTAAGGCTGGGTTGTTGTAGGGTTTTTTGGGCTATATGGCCATCTTCTAGAAGCATTCTCTCCTGACGTTTCGCCTGCATCTATGGCAAGCATCCTTAGAGGTTGTGAGACCTCACAACCTTTGAGGATACCTGCAAAACGTCAGGAGAGAATGCTTCTAGAACATGGCCATATAGCCTGAAAAAACTACAACAACATGCCTGCCATAGATGCAAGCGAAACGTCAGGAGAGAATGCTTCTAGAACATGGCCATATAGCCTGAAAAAACTACAACAACATGCCTGCCATAGATGCAGGCGAAACGTCAGGAGAGAATGCTTCTAGAACATGGCCATATAGTCTGAAAAAACTACAACAACATGCCTGCCATAGATGCAGGCGAAACGTCAGTTGAGAATGCTTCCAGAACATGGCCATATAGCCTGAAAAACCTACAACAACAAGCTTGCCATAGATGCAGGCGAAACGTCAGTTGAGAATGCTTCCAGAACATGGCCATATAGCCCGAAAAACTTACAACCCTTTCTCCCACCCTGGACATTATTCCAAATATGCAGGAAAAGCACAATCTAAACACCCTCAACAGATGGCCATCCAGCCTCTGTTGGAAAGATTCAAAGGAAGAAGCATCCACCACGCTCCGAGGCAGAGAGTTCCACTGCTGAACAGCTCATAAATCCTTGCTAATGTTCAGGTGGAATCTCCTTTCCTGTCATTTGAACCCATTGAGTTCCACTGAGTCCTAGTCTCCAGCCTGTTCCCTCTTCCATGCAAAAGTGGCTTCCCTTGGTTTGCAATTATAGGGCCAATGACCCATCAATCATTGTTAAGTTTTGGTTCCACCCCTTTCCCCAGGGCCCTGGGAGGAGAGAGAGCCATTTTAGGTCAGTCTTGCATTGGAAAGCTTAGCTACAGGATGTGGATTAGCTCCACCTGTAGAGAAGCTTCATTTCTCAAAACATCCGGGGAAAACAGTCCTAAAGCTTCTAGGGAAAACAGTTTGACAGCACAACCCTTGTTGGGGTTAAAGATACAGATTCACATCATTCGTGGAGAAAATCCAGAAGAACTCCAGCTGGAAAATCTACTAAGTCTTGACTGGTAGGTCTACTTGGGTAACCAGAAGCAATTGGAGCCGGGAGTAGGGCCCACACCAGCAGAGCCTTAAAGCAGATTGCCCGAGAGGGATCAAAAAGGGTTTTCCTTGTTAAAGAAAGAAATAGTTCTCCAAGCAAGGTACCTGTCCTTTGTAGACAAGTTAAGAAGTGTATGTTTAACTTGTTGAAGATCTAAGAAGTATTTGATTGTTTGTGGAAGACCTAAGCAATAATAAAGGACTTTGTTAAACCTTTCAAGCTTCTAAAGACTCTGTATAGGAAAATCCTTAGAGCCTCTCACTCGAGGCACCCCGGCTTCCCTCTGGGCACAAAGAGCACGTCCTGTTCAAAAGCCAACTGCTGTAGGCCCAGCGTGTGACAGCACACTCACTGCTTGACTTTGCAGCTGCAAGGCTACTCAATGCTAATCAAGCTTGCCAATTGCAACAGTCACACTTGTTTCAAACACGCATGGGTTCTTTCCCCCACCCTGGACATGATTCCACACCTGAAGATGCCAGCCACAGATGCAGGTGAGACATCAAGAGAGAATGCTACTGGAACATGGCCATACAGCCCCCAAAATTCGCAGCAACCCGGGGACCCGTAATGGGGTTATTGCGGCACCAATGGCATCGCATAGACTCACATGTCTTTGTGTCGCTCATGGACCCGGGCCCGGGCTTTCCGGTCTTCCTCCTCCTGGAGCTGTTTGGCCATCTGCAAGTCATATTGCACCAGGCGGTTGCGCTGGATGTTGGTCGCCAAGTGATGCTCAACTGCACAAGGAAAGCAAGGAATACAGTTTCAAAAGTCACATCAGAAGTCACAGGAAGCAGGGGGAAAAGAACCTCAAAACCCAATGTGATGTGGATGCTTCATCAACAAGAGTATAGTGCAGGCGTGAGCAAACTTTGACCCTCCAGGTGTTTAAACCAGTACAAGTGGGCCTGAAATGGCAGGGAGAAGGTTTGAGGAAAAGAGACAAAGAGAGATCCTGAGAACTGAAAAGCACGGCTTTTTTCTCGGTTGGCGCCAACCGGATATGGACCCTTCTGGTAAGCCAGGAAAGAAGGGTTCAGAACAAAGGAAATCCTTGGTTTATATACCTTTTAAAATAATTATGCATGCATCATACAGACATCACAATGTGTGTCACAAAATTCTACTTTTACATTGACTTCAATAGCACATTTTCAAACTCAACACCTTGTCAATCTTCATTAGCATCCCTATCTGAAGAATTGCTATCAATGAGGACCATCGCCAGAATGTCTACTGGACCTGATAGCAAGAGTCTCCATCCATCCTAAGATAAGGTCTTCCTGAAACCTCTTAATGGCCACCTCATTAGTCTTACGATAAGTTGCCTGGTACCGAGATAGGGCCTCTTGAAATATGCCAGGCCTCCAGACATTCCTTTTCCTAGATGCTGGCCTCTCTAATTTTGCAGCTTTTAAGAAGTCAAGTGAAGTGAAGGCCATGCATACATACATACATTTCTCTTATATATTTTCTAACTCCTATTTCTAATATGGTTACATCAAATATATATTTTCCAATATGTGAATTATGTATTTTCATCAAGCCTTCATCAGTCCCAGTGGTCATCGGCACAATGGGTGCCATGCCAAAAGATCTCAGCCGGCAACATGGAAACAATAAACATTGACAAAATCACGATCTGTCAAATGACTTGGATCTGTGGGCATCATTCAAAAATACATCACACAATCCTAGACTCTTGGGAAGTGTTCGACTTGTGATTTTGTGATACGAAATCCAGCATCTATATCTCATTTGCTGTGACAAACTGTGTTTTTGTGTCAATAATAATAATAATAATAATAATAAATAAGGGAAATAACTTGGTGGCTTTACTGAGACGTACTTTCCTGCTCTTGAAGGCTGTGGGCCAAAGTGTGGTCTTCCAGGACCGCAAAGTCTCGACACACTGGAAAGAAAAAATACATACAATTTATTTACAACTTCATATATTAATCTATTTAGTATATCAAATATATTTAACTTGATATATTTATCTTTTCATCCCAGCACTGGGCGCAAGGTGGTGTTGGGATTCAGCCTGGGATTGAACCTGATCCTGTGCTTGAACCTGTGAACGTGTTTCAGTCTCCTGATGTTTCTGTGTCTGATGTGGGGAATGAGGAGGGAAGTCAGTCCCCTGTTGCTTCTGATGTGGGGGATGCTGGGACTGACTCTGAGGTGCAAGATGGAGACACTTTGGTCAATGAGTTTCATGCAGACACTGACAGAGAGGCTTCGGTGCAAAGGGCAGATTCTCTTGAGAATGCGTCTGTCAGGCCTTGGGAGAAAGGTTTACTCCCTCCATCTTTGAGCTCTCCAGATTCTAGTTTGGAAAACAGCCTGACACCTGCTAAAGTTAATGAGGAGTCAGATAAGCAGAGTCGACGGCTAGAGATTAGCCAGAATCGACAAGAGGCCCAATGTTTATGTAGATCCGAAAGAATTCGTCAATTAAAGTCAAAGTTTGGGGGAAAACGAAACCAGTTTTGGGGATTTAAGGTTTGCCTGTAAAAAATCTCATCAGATCAGGCATCATTTGGAAACCAAGTGTAAGCCTCATGGAATCCCTGTTCAAGTGGTCTTGTCTTCATGGATTTTTCTAGCTTTTAAGTTGACTAGCAGCATCTGGTCTCTTCTTGCTTTTTGTTTGCTTCCTGTCTGGTGTCACACACCAAGGCTGGAAGCACACCTTTGAACCCACGAACTCTCCAAAGTTCTACAGCAAATAAACAATTTATTGAATAAATGCAAGCAATATTAAAAGGGGGTGGAAAAGGAAAGTAAAAGGTTAAGTAAGAAAGACTAAAAACAATCCAAACCGATAGATAAGCAAATATAATCCATAAAAGAGCACAGAGATGATCTTTGATTCTACAGCAAAATCCACGAATGCATAGTCCTTAAAACCCACAGAGGAAAATGTCCAAAGTCTCTTGAAAAACCAGGGAACAAGGTTGCCCAGATCCAAAATCCACAGAAGAATTACACAGGGAAACTTTCACCAACAACAACTTGAACATGAGTCTTGAGCAGAGAGTTCCATGAATCTTGACATGACATACATACAAGACTTGCCCAGTAACCGACGTTGCGCTCACTGAAGGCAATGCTGTGAAAGCCCTATATTTATTCAAAAAGACCTACACAAAATGCATTCCGATTCCCTTGAGAACTCTCCTTCAAATGCCTCTTTCTCCTTATTCTGACAGACCTTCTGACTCCCCTTTGCAGGTGGCGATCTTGACAAATTTGACCCCTTCTATCAAAGGTTGATTCCTCCTGGTTGCTCGTTAACACATTCCTTTCACTTTCCTTATCTAGCAACACAAGCCGGTTCCCATCAGACTGTCTGGAAACCATTCTCTGGAGATATCATTGCCTTGGATTATAATTTCATGTTTTTTTGGACATTTTTTTATTGTTACGTTTGGACACTTTTATCTGGCTGCCTTTGAATGCCTTATTGCTTTTTGGAACCTTATCTATCTTTACAAGCATTTATTTCTACTGGCTTTTTTTTGCTAAGCTTTAATAAAAAGGATTTTGCTAAGCTTTAATAAGAAGGCTGAGAGGATCGTGTCTCCTCTCAGCCTTCTCTTCTGAAGGCTAAACATGCCCAGCTCTTTAAGCCGCTCCTCATAGGCCTTGTTCTCCAGAACCTCGATCCTTTGACTCAACCTCTTCCTCTGGACACATTCTAGCTTATAGTCAACATCTCCCTTAAACAGCAGTGCCCAGAATTGGACACAGTGTGAATCCAGGTAAAGTGATCTGACTAAGGCAGAATAGAATAGAGCATGGGGAGCATGACTTCCCTGAATCTAAGCACTAGGCTCCCATCTAAATAGACATGGGTTTATTGTCGAAGGCTTTCATGACTGGAATCATTGGGTTGTTGTAGGTTTTTTGGGGCGATATGGCCATGTTCTAGAAGCATTCTCTCCTGATGTTTTGCCTGCATCTACGCCAAGCATCCTCAGAGGTTGTGAGGTCTGTTGGAAACCATACAGCCTGAAAAACCTACAACAACCCAGAGAATTGGCCGTCTGCAAGGACGTGGCCCAGGGGACACTCAGATCTCTGAGGATGCTTGCCACAGATGCAGGCAAAATGTAAGGAGAGAATGCTTCTAGAACATGGCCCTATAGCCCGAAATACCTACAATAACCCAGACAAGGGTTCTTTCTCCCACCCTGGACATTATTCCAAATATATATTTAAGCACACTCCACTTGCCTCACTTCCAACAGAGCTCTGAGGATGCCATTAGCCACAGATGCAGGTGAAACGTCAGGAGAGAATGCTTCTAGAACGTGGCCATATAGGCCAAAATACCTATAACAACGCAGACAAGGGTTCTTTCTCCCACCCTGGACATTATCCCACATATATATTTATATACACTCCATTTGCCTTACTTCCAACAGACCTCTGAGGATGCCATTACCAACAGATGCAGGAGAAATGTCAGGAGAGAATGCTTCTAGAACATGGCCATATCGCCCGAAAAACCTACAACAACCCTTTCTCCCACCCTGGACATTATTCCAAATATATGTTTATATACACTCCACTTGCCTCACTTCCAACAGACCTCTGAGGATGCCATTAGCCACAGATGCAGGTGAAACATCAAGAGAGAATGCTTCTAGAACATGGCCATATAGCCTGAAAACCTACAACAAACCAAACAAGGGTTCTTTCTCGCACCCTGGATATTATTCCAAATATATGTTTATATACACTCCACTTGCCTCACTTCCAACAGACCTCTGAAGATGCCATTAGCCACAGATGCAGGTGAAATGTCAGGAGAGAATGCTACCTGAACATGGCCACATAGCCCGAAAAACTAACAACAACCCAGACAAGGGTTCTTTCTCCCACCCTGGACATTATCCCACATATATATTTAGATTGCCTCACTTCCAACAGACCTCTGAGGATGCCATTAGCCACAGATGCAGGTGAAACGTCAGGAGATAATGCTACCTGAACATGGCCATGCAGCCCAAAAAATTCACAGCAACCCAGTGACTCTGGAAATAAAAGCCTTTGACAACACAGAGAAAGCTTTGCTGCAAAGTAGTTATTTTGGTTTGCCATAATCCATTTTCCTTTTTAATGGGATCACTCAATGGATTACGGCGGATGGGAGTCCCTTCCGGAGAATTCAGACAATAGACTCGGCGGACTCTTGACTCAGCCATTGATTGACATGGAAAGGAAGGGAAGAAGTGGCCAGATCACGGTTCTCTGATACGGAAGATGGCATTTAAGAATCCCATCAATATTTGGAAGACATTCATAGAAAAGGGACAAAATAATAATTGGAAAAATTATTGGAAAATAATAATTATGGAAAAACAGGGCAACAAGTTAAGTGTTTCCTTTGCCATCTTCCAAACCACAGCTGAAAAGTTACAGATGGAAATCTCAGACGTTTCTGATTGAACTTCCAGATGGACTTTTTGGGAACCACCTGAAGGTTGGATCAAGAAAAAATATCTGTTTCTGGTTATCTAGACGCATCTCTTGACCACTTCCTTTTCCTGCATTNAATTGGTGGGGCAGCGGTGGGATTGTTTGACCCCCTGCCCAGACGGCCATTTAATTTAAGGAGGTTATTATACCACAGACCACCTGGGTGCTCTCCCTCCCCCCTCCCTCCATAACCACCCTCCCTCCCTCCATAATCACGCACGCAAGGGATGAAGCTGTCCTCTGAGCAGTAGCATCGCCTTCTTTGTCCCTCTCTCTGAGGGTCTTGCCATGGAGAAAGCACTCTTGCACCGCCTGGGGAGGCTCTTCCGGCACTGGAGCAACTCTGAGGAGTCCAAGGCGGACCCACTGCCTTCCCCATGCCCTTCCCCAGCTCTGGAGCTGTGGCGGGAGCATCGCCTCAGCGTCAGTAGCCAGGCCAACTGTGGCACCTCCAGAGGAAGGTGATGGGGTTCAGCCTCCGTGCAAACCAGAACCTGATTCTTTAATTGTATTTTCTGATGCAACTGAACAGGCCTCTGAACATGTATCTTTCCCTGATGGGGTTGAAACTGTTGATTATGAGTCCAGTGGCGGGGAAAGTGAAACTGAACTTCGTGATGAGAATGTTTTGGAATCAAGCAGTGATAGCTCTCCAGAGGGACTCACGCCTGGGTTTGCTAATGAGCACCGAAGAGTACAGATTTGGAAAAACAGGAGTGAGTCGCAGTTTCTACGAAGGTCAAATAGATTACGGGAGAGGGAGGCTTCAAAGTCTAGAGGCGTTTCAAGAAATAGTTTCTTTAGCTTAAAGGGCCTCTTCCCGGCTGTCTAGTTAGATCAAGCAACGTTTCAGACTGAGGCAGTACCTTGGCAGATTTTCTGTGTTCCATGGCCTGCATTCCAAGAGGTTTCTAGTTTTCAAGTACAGTAAGTGATGCTAACAGGTTCCTGGTTTCTGTATTGTGGCTTTTGGAATTTTGCTCAAGTTCAGAGTTTTCCTGACTGCTGTGTTTCTACTTTGCATTTACCTTTCTTTTGTAACCATTTTTCATCAATAAAGAGGATTGTTTTTTCCCATAGTCCAGTGTGGTGGATTTAATCTTATGGTCTCCTTTCCTGAACTGGGATGCAACAGTAGGAGATCAAGGAACTAGCCAAGGCCAGGGTCAGCAGGACAGCTTGCCCTCCTCACCCTCCTACTCACTGCATCTCCCGTTCAGCGCCTCGGAGCCCAGCACACCCACCAACAGGTCTGGGCCTTCCTTGCAAGGACTCTCTCTTCAGAGAGGAAAGAGGGAGTAGGGACTTTTGGGTCTTGCAAGGACCCCCTATCTTTTCAGGGAGGGAGGGTCTTCCAGCTCTAGAGAGCCTCTGATTCTCTCTTCCGCCTTCTCCATGGACCCGTTAAGGCAGGCTTGGGTCAAGTTGGGTCCTTCTTCGGGTGTTTTGGACTTCAACT